TTTTTTTTTTTTTTTTTTTTTTTTTGGTACCGGGGACTGAACTCGGGTCCTTGCGCTTTCAAGGCAGGCCACCGAACCGCTGAGCTAAATCCCTGGCCCCTTAAATCTACAAGTTTATTGGAGTTTTTGGGGTCTTCTATATAGAGTATCATGTCATCTGCAAATAATGACAATTTAACGTCTTTCTTTCCTGTCCTTATTCCTTTTCTTTCTCTTGTCTAGTCTCCCTGGCTAATGTTTCCAGAACTAAATCGAAAAAGAGTGGTGATAGTGGCCATCCTTGTCTTGTTCCTGATTTTAGTGTGAAAGATAGCAGTTTTTGCCTGTTTAGTGTGATGTTGACTGCTGGTTTGTCATAGATGGCTATTATCAGATTGAAATAAAGACCATCTATTCTGATTTTCTGTCAGGTTTTTGTCATGAGTGGGTGTTGGACTTTGTTAAATGCTTTTTCTGCATCTATAGACATGATCATATGGTTTTTGTCCTTGGCTCTGTTAATATTGCATATTTCATTTATTGATTTATGTAATTTATGTATGTTGAATCATCCCTGCATCCCTGGGATGAATCCCACTTGGTCAGGGTATATAATCTTGACAATCTTCTGCATTCTTTTTGCCAGTATCTTTTTTTTTTTTTTTTTTTTTTTTTTTGATACTGGGGATTGAACTCGGGACCTTGTTCTTGTGAGGCAGGTGGTGGCACCATTGAGCTAAATCCCCATCCCCTTGTTTGCCAGTATCTTACTGAGGATTTTTTCATCTGTGTTCATTAGGGAGATGGTCTGTAGTTCTCTTTTTTTTGGCTGGGTTCTTCTCTGCTTTTGGAATCAAGGTAATGTTTGCTTCCAGGAATCTGGGTACTTTTCTTCCCTTTCACTTTCATTAAAGAGTTTGAGGAGTAGTGGCATTGAGGTCTTCTCTAAATTTCGTGTAGAATTCAGCAGTAAAGCCATCAGGACCTGAGCTTTTCTTTGTTAGTAGGTTTTATTGTTGTTATTGTTGTTTTTTGTTTTTTGTCTTTTTGAGACAAGGTCTCACTTTGTAGTTCAGGCTGGCCTCGAACTCTTGGGAATCCCCTTGCCTCTGTCTCCCAAGGGTTGGGAGTACAGGCGTGTGCCACCACACCTGGCTTGTTAAGTTTTTAATTACATTTTCAATTTCATTGACCGATATTGTGTTGTTTAGAATTTTTATATCATTTTGGTTTGGCTTTGGCAATTCGTATGTATCTAGGAAACTTCATTTCTTGTTTTCTTTCTTATTACAATACAGGTTCTTGAAGTAGGTATTGATGATCCTCTGGATTTATACAGGATCTTTTGTAATTTCACTGTTTTCATTCCTAACTGAATGGATTTGATACTTCTGTTTCCTTTTTTTGATAAGGTTGGTTAAGGATTTGTCAATTTTATTTAATCTTTCAAAGAACCAAGTCTTGGATTCTTTTTTTTTGGGGGGTATAATTCTCCTAGTCTTCATTGCATTAATTTCTGCTCTAATCTTTATTATTTCCCCTCTTGTATAAGGTTTGAGATTATCTTGCTTTTCTTTTCCTAGAAGCTTGGAGTTCAGCATTAGATTGTTTGTTTGAGCTCGCTCTGTTTCCTTAATATGGGCATTCGCTGCTATGAATTTCCCTTGTAGGACTGCTTTCATTGTATCCCATAAATTCTGGTATGTTGTACTGGCATTATCATTTAATTGTAGAAACTGTCTGATTTCTTCTTTAATTTCATCTGTGACCCATTGGTTGTTCTGGAGGGTGTTATTTAGTTTCCATATGTTTATGAAGCTTTTGTGGTTTCTTTTGCTATTGATCTCTAATTTCATTGTACTATGATCTGAAAATATGCATGGGATAATTTCAGTTCCTTTGCATTTACTTAAGCATATTTTGTGAGCTAGCATGTGGTCTGTTTTGGAGAACATCCTGTGAACAGCTGAGAAGAATGTGTATTCTGATGTTGTGGGGTAGAACACTCTATAGATATCTATTAAGTCCATTTCTTCAAGAGTTTGGTTCAGTTCTAGTATTTCATTGTTGGTTTTTGTCTAGTTGATCTGTCTATTTGTAACAGTGGGGTATTGAAGCCCTGTATAACACACAATTTTAATAGTGCTTATTTGCTTTTTCCTGTCTGGATAGTATTTGTTTTTTATAGTTGGGTGCACTGGTATTTGGTGCATATTTATGATTGTCATCTTTCTCTTGGATTGTTCCTTTTACTAGGATGTAGTGACCTTCTTTGTCTCTTTTTGTCTTGACTTGAAATCCACTTCGTCTGCAAATAGTATAGCTACCTTTCCTTTTTCCGGGTTCTTGTCACTTGGAATATTGTTTTCCATCCTTTGACTTTCATTCTGTGAATTCTTTCTGAATTAAGTGTGTTTCTTATATGCAGCATATTGTTGGATCTTGTTTCTTCTTTTTTTTTTTTTGAGTTTATTGGTACATTTTAGGTATACAGTACAGTTACACTCACTATTGGGATCTTGTACCTTTACATGACAGGTCTTGGTTCTCATTTTTTCACCTTGTCCCTGCCCTCCCTTGGATCTTGCTTCTTGATTCATTCTGCCAGTCTGTTTCTTTTGATTGGTGAATTGCGACCATTGACATTAATGAGTATAACTGATATGCATTGAGTTATCATTGGAAGACTTTCCTTCCTTTTTAAGGTTGAATAATCTTCCTTTTTTTTTTTTTTTTTTTTTTTTTTTATTTTTTTTGTACCAGATATCCAACTCAGGATTTTATGCTTGTGAGGCAGGTGGCAGAACCACTGAGCTAAATCCCTGGCCCATATTCTTCCTTTGTATTGTTGTGCTACTTTTGCTGATCTGTTTATCTGTGGTGTGGGTAGCTGCTACATTTTAGCTGTTTGAATAATGCTATGAACATTGGTTGTTCAAGTATCTCTTTAATACTTTGCTTTTTAGGGGCTGGGGATTTAGCTCAGCGGTTCCAGGGCCGCCTCACAAACACTTTGCTTTTTAATTCTTTTGGGAGTAAAGTCAAGACATGGGATTGCTGGATTATGTGGTAATTCTGTCTTTAACTTTTGGAGGAATTTCCATAGGGGTTGTATCATATTAATATTCCACCAACAGTGCACAAGGTATATAATTTCTTTATATTCTTGTTAATTGTGTGTGTATGTGTGTGCGCGCGCGTGTGTGTATGCATGTGGCATGTGCTGGGAATCAAATGTAGAATCTTACATTTATTAGGCATGAATATTACAACTAAGCAACATCTGCAGCCTTGTTTTAGACTAATTTTATTTCCTTAATAATTAGTGTGTCAAACATCTTTTTTTTTTCCTTTTCCTGGTACCAGGGATCAAACTCAGAACCTTGCACTTTTGAAGCAGGTGTGGCACCACTGAGCTAAATTCCCAGCCCCTTTTCATGTTCTTATTGGCCACTTATATTTCTTTGGAGAAATATCTATTTCAAGTCCTTTACCTATTTTTAAATTGATTTTGTTATGTTGTATAGCTTATATAGAAAACTACTAAAACTCAACATTTTTGAATTAAAATTTTTTTATTGTGTACCTTTGTAATATAGAATAACATGATTCATTTTGGTATATTGATATAAGCACATAGCACATTTTAACTGTTTCCATCCTCATTACCTACTTTTCCCTTTCCTCTCCTCCTCAATGTAAAAATTTAAAAGCATTTCCCTCAACATTTTATTACAAACTTACTAAAAATTTCATGAGTTGTAGAAGTTAATCTTTTCTAATTTGAAAATCTGGAATCTGAAATGGTCCAAAATCTAAAATCTTGAACACTGCTATGACATCACAAGTGGAAAATTCTACTTTTGACCTTATTTGACCTCATTCTACCATTGCCTTGTAGTAGTTAAAATAGAGGTACACTAAAAATATTGTATAAACTTACTTTTAGGCTGTATGTATGAGGTATATAAAAATGCATTTTGGTTTTTGACCTGGGTCTCATTTCCAAGATATATATATACATGCAAATATTCCCAAACCTGAAGAAAAATCTGAAATATGAAAGACTTTTGGTTCCAAGCATTTTGGATAAGGGACACTCAGCCTGTTGAAGAGCATTGTTCTACTCTCCTCCTGAGTTTCCTAATTGTTAGTATTTTGCCATATTTGCTTATCCCTTTTTTTTCTGACTTAGTTGCTGATGTCATGACATTTTCTTCCCAAAATATTTTAGCATACATCTGCTAAGGACAAGAATACTTTCTTACATAATCTTAATGCAATTATTGTCCTGAGGAAATATAATACTGCTACAGTGTTATTGGCTAATAATACATAGCCCATTTTACAATTCTCAGTTGTCTCAAGGATTGTATGTTGGATTTAGTTATTTCTGTTTAGTCTTTTACCTAGAATAACTAAGTATGGCTTTTGTTTGTCTTTCCTGATACTGACCTTTTTGGCAGAGTCCATGGTAGTTATTTTTCAAAGCATCTCTGAATTTGGATTTGTCTTGCTAAAAGTTTTTGGTAGCAATATTATATGGGTGATATTTTACTTGAAATTTGAACAATAAGGATGTACTATTTTTGAAAATATAAAAATCATTAAAGTTATTTAGTATGTTTTTGAAAGGCAAATTGATGACTGAACATGATGATGCATGCCTTTAATCTCAGGATGCTGAGACAGGAGAATTCAAAGTGTGAGGTCTGAGCTAGGGATGTAGTTCAGTGGTAGAGCACTTGCATACCAAGCACAAGGCCCTGGGTTCAATCCCCAGTACCCACACTCCAAAACAATACAAAACATCCCCAAGCAAATAATATGCTTCAGAAGTCTTAAAAATTAATGAAGTAATTCTGTGTCTAGAAATTTATCTTAAGGAACCAGTCAATTGGAAATGCAAAGATGAATGCGCATGTCTTTAATCTCACTACTTGAGATACTGAGGTAGGAAAAATTTCTACTTTGATGCTAGCCTGGTCTGCATAGCGCAACCTTTTTCCAGAAAAAATTTATACGTATACACACACACACACACACACACACACACGCACACATATATATGTATGTATATATGAATTGTGTCCCCTTCTGATTCTTGTCTTTAAAGTATAAGAGCTGTGTAGTGGCATTGGTTGTGTGAGAGGCTGAAAGTGAACCTAGCTCTTTCCCATAGGACTGGGTTGCAAATTAGAGCTGTAGAAAGGCATTCCTAGCAAATGAGGCAGCTTAGACCTAGACAGAGGTGTGAAAGTCATGTGCCATATAGGGATCATCATAGGATCTAGGTTCAAATTCTGGTACTTTACTAGCTCTCTAATCTTGGGCAAGTTTCTTCAGTATTCCTAGCCTTGATTTCTCCATCTGTTAATTTAGACAAGGGCTTTTGGGAAGATAAATGGGAAACATTTTTTCCTACACATTTTAACATACTTTGACAAATCTGTGTGTTACCATCACAAAGTACAGAAAATTTCCATCACTCTGAAAGGTTTGCTTGGCCTTTTTCCTTCCTAGTCAATCTGTATCCTTCTTTATTCTTGCTCCTAGGTATCCACTGATCTGATTTCTGGAGGAGAATAGACTTTTTCTAGAACTTCAAGTAAATGGAATCTAATCAGTGCTTATTACTTTGTATCTGGCTTCTTATAGGTAGCATTTATTAGATACTTACATTTATCCACTAGTGATTCAGTACTTACTTTTGCTGAGAACTATTCCATTGTATTAATACAATTTGTTTATCTCCTCACCTGTTGATGGAGATTTTAGTTGTTTCCAGTTTGGGGCCATTATGAATAAGTTGCTAGAAACATTCAAGTACAAATGTTTGTGGGGACATATTTTTCATTTCATTTGGATAAATCAGCTAGAAATTGAACTGCTGAACCATATGGTGAGTATGCTTAACTTTTGTTTTTTCTCTTCTTAGGTTGTCATAATTGTACATATTTATGGGATACAGTGTGATAATTTGATACATGCATACAGTTTTAGTGATCAAATCAGGATAACTAATATTTCCATTATTTCTTTGTGCTGGAAACATTTGAACTCTTCTTTCTTTCTTACTTTCTTTTCTTTTCTTTTTTTTTTACTGTACCAGGCATTGAACTCAGGACCTTGTGCTTGTGAGGCAGGTGCAGTGCCCCTGAGCTAAATCCCCAGCCCTCTTCTAGTTCTTTATAAAAGAGAATGTTTAATTTTATAAGAAGCTGCCAAACTTTTTTCAAAACTGTTCCATTTTACTCTGTGAGGAATGGGACATAGGGGTGATAAAATGAGAGAGAGTGTGTGTAATAGTAGCGGACCCATGGGCAGTTGGCAGGGTAACCTGACGGGGACCACTTATGACTCCATAGGGGAGAAACTTTCTTCCTTTTTTTAAACAATGCCTCCCTAAGGGAATAGGCCCTTTCCTTCAAATTCTAGTAATATATATCCCTTTCTTTTTATTCTTTATTTACACTCATCTTAAATTCTACCCCCAGGATCATGTATATGAACTTCTCAACACGATTGATGCCTGCCAGTGTCATTTTGATATCGTAAGATCCTTTGCAATTTTCTTCTACCATAGAATAGAATTAAGAAAAGGCCAGCTCTTGGTTGGGGCAGTGTGGTGTGGGATGGGACTGGAAGAATGGCCATTTCATTTGTTCCTTCTGAGAACCGTGATTCTTTTGTAGAGTGCTGAAGTTACCATGTACTTACATGTGAAGCAGATAAGCAGTATGATTTAATTAATACAAAAATTAAAAATCTTTTACTGTATCTCTTCTGACCTCCAAATGCTACCTTACTTCCTGGCCTTCTTGTATCTCAAGCCCATGTTTAGCCTGAAGTTTGCTTCTATTTTTCTTCTGAATTTTTCATTTTGTTAGTCCCTTCTTTTATGTGGACCTGGTCAGAGTCTATTTTAGCACTGTCTGGAATGGTTGAGGAAATAAGAAGATCCAGACTACTTGGCTGTGCTGTCCTTGGGCGTTGTATTTTCCTTTAGAATCTCAACTTTGACTTCACTCGGAGTTACCTGGACTTGATCGTGACTTACACCTCTGTTATTTTGCTGCTGTCGCGAGTTGAGGATCGACGGGTACTCATTGGCATGTACAACTGTGCCCACGAAATGCTGCATGGGCACAGGTAAGTTTAAGAGGTGGCAAAGAGCCTCATACATGGAGCTGTAAAGTAGGGGTAGGTACCGAAGAAATAGATGCCATGGCTTCCTCTATGAGTATATACAATCTACATCAGGACCCTGGGAAGATAAGGTATTTTTTAGATATAGTTAACTCTTGAGTATCTGTCAGTGGATTATTCAGTTTGTATTATCTCTTATCATTTTTAATCTGGACTGGCTTCTAATCTGCTTTTTAGATTATTAGAAAAGGGAAAGACAATTCTTTTTAGTATTAGTAGAAATATCAATAAGGCCAAGCCTTTGGAAATAGGTAATGTATGATAATATATTTGAAGAGAAATATAAATGAATTTTGGATTATCTGCAATTCTGTTCTTCCTTCATTAGTTAAAAAAGGAGCATTATGGGCTGAAAATTGAAGACCAGAGGAATTAGAGTGGGATATGGCAGGTCGTTCTATGTGTAATATACATTCCCCGTGTCTACATGGGTACCTTGGCACATGCCTTTCCCATTAGCTTTGAATATTTATGTACCATTTTGGGAATATTTATGTACCATTTTGAGTTGCATGCATATTGCTTGATTTCTAAGTAACGGACACAAATTTATCAAGTACTTATTATGTATCCGCCTCCCCCTTTTTTTGGTATCGGGGATCAAACTCAGGACCTTGAGCTTGCGAGGCAGGCAGTGGCATCACTGAGCTAAATCCCCAGTCCATCCAACCCTATTTTGCTTAAAAGAGAGAAACTTCCATGGGTCCATCTCACGTTGTGTAGTTCTATTTAACTGTAGCTTAGTATACATGCGTGGGGGCTGGGTACTAGTACATGTAATTCACAGTTTAGTGTGTCTGTCTTTGGAGCTAGTGGGGGGTGCCAGTGTATGCATATGTCTGTGTCTTTTATACAAATATATCCATTTACATCAGGGTTAAGGCCTGTAACTCCTCTCTGCTCTGCTTTCTTTCAGTGACCCCAGTTTTGCTCGTTTGGGTCAGATGGTTTTAGAATATGATCACCCTCTGAAGAAGCTGACAGAAGAGTTTGGGCCTCACACAAAGGCAAGGTCACTGAGGGAGTGGAGAATTTTTCAGGCAGGAGTATTTGTTTCCATTTTTTGAATTAAGGATTCATTTTCCTTTTCCCACAGGCAGTGAGTGGAGCCCTTCTCTCTTTGCATTTCCTCTTTGTCCGGAGGAACCAGGGGGCTGAGCAGTGGCGCAGTGCCCAGCTTCTCAGTCTCATCAGCACTCCCCCAGCCATGATTAACCCTGCTCACTCAGACACAGTGAGTTCCCTTTTCCTTCTGTTTACCAAGGCCATCTCCACAGAAGGTGCCTCTTTCAGGAAATGTCAGCCCTAAGAATCTAGCCCTCATAGAACATTGCCTCTAGATCAATCACTTCTTATAGCTAAAAAGTCATGATTAAGTTGCAGCCTCTGCTTGGGCCAGGATTAATATGTGCCTGCTCATAAAAGGAATTCAGTAGATATTTTTAGGATGAATGAACAAACGGATGAAACTCAGTCATTAGTCGCTAGTAGGAACTTGCGCTTAGCATTCAATTAAAATGTTTTTGCTCAGCTACTATGGGCCCAAAGTCCTTCCCTCAAAGAACTTACAGTCTAAGTTGGGTGTAGTGGCACATGCCTGTAATTCCAGCTCTAGGGAGGCTGAGGCAGGAGGATTGCTGTGAATTTGAGGCCAGCCTGGGCTACATAGTGAGTTCAAGGCCAGCCTGAGCTACATGTGAGACCCTGTCTCAAAAATGTAAAACAAAACAAAACTTACAGTCTAGTAGAGAAGATTTTGTCATAAAAACATAACTGATGGTAAGCTCCAAATGAATAATTTATGCTTATGATGTATAGTTTATGTGGTAAGAGGATCTAAGGGAGGGAGAGAAGAAGGTTTTGAATCTTGTTATTAAAATTATCTGAACTGTTGAAGAGAGGTTAAACCTTTTGTTTTGTGTTGACTTCCACCCTCAGCTCCTTTTCCTTTTTTCAATTGTCCTTTTTTTCCTTAGTCTGCTTCAAGGGCCTCCCTTCCACTATTGGCAGGTTCGCCAGCTATTGGTTTATCCATGTGCCTTAACCTGGTTTGTAAAAACAGCGTGTGTGTGTGTGTGTGTGTGTGTGTGTGTGTGTGTGTGTGTGTGTGTGTTTTTTGGTGCTCTGGATTGACTCAAAGGCTTTGCACATGCTCGGCAGGTATTCGACACTTGAGCTTTGTCTGTAGTCCAAAAAGTTGGTACTCAGCTTCTAGACTGATTTTTCTCCAGGAGAAGAGTAGGTTAAACAACTGCATGACCATTTCTTCCTCTCTTCTCGCAGATGGCTTGTGAGTATCTGTCTGTGGAAGTGATGGAGCGCTGGATTATCAGTGAGTCCGTGGGATTAGGTGGGGACAGATGTAGCAGCACCTTACCTGGGGAGCAAATTCTAACAGCCTTGCTCTGCACTCTCCACCCACCTGCAGTCGGGTTTCTTCTCTGTCATGGGTGCCTCAACGCCAACAGCCAGTGCCAGAAGCTGTGGAAGCTGTGTCTGCAGGGCTCCCTGTACATCACTCTCATCCGGGAAGATGTACTGCAGGTGCACAAGGTTACCGAGGACCTGTTTAGCAGTTTGAAAGGGTGAGAGGCATAAGAACCAAACTGATATTTTGGGGCTCTTAGTCCCATTTTTAGTCTCTGTGAGTGTTCCATGTATGGGTGGGAAGAGTTAATTCTAACCATGGAAGAAATACTTATCAAATACTATTTGCTATTTGCTGAAATAGTTATGAAGTACCTATTATTTCAGGGATACAATTTTTGGTAAGGTAACATAGAAGTTAAAAGCTTGGACTCTGAAACCAGACTGCCTGGGTTTGAACTCAAGCCCTACCATTTACTAGCTGTGTGACTTTAAGCAAGTTACTGAGTTTCTCTGTGCCATTGGGGTCAATTTCCTCACCTATAAAATGTGAATAGTTGTGCCTCCCCTATGACTGACCTCACAAGGTTATAAATAATGAAAGAGTTATATGTAAAACATGTAGAAAAGATCCTGGAACATTAAGCATACTGTGCTTGTTAAATAAAAGATATGATCTATCCCTTCTCAGCCTTTTGGCTAAGATCAAGTGTAAATAAAAGATATGATCTCTGTTTCTGAGGAGTTTACAAATTGGTAGAAAATAGTCAAACTGTTGTACAGGGTAAGGAATTGTGGCATATAAACACAAAGTGCTGTGGACACATTTAGGACACTTAAACTGGATCTAGCAGGATCCTGAAAAACCTGGAGACAGGTAGACCTAAGAGTTAAGCCATTGAAAAGTATGTGTGTGGTGGAGAGAAAGGCATGGGAGTTATGTAAAGTAGAGAAAGGTGTTCTAGGCAGAGAACTATCAAGATTTTTTTTTTGTACGGGGATCAAACTGCGCTTGCAAGCCAGGCGGTGGCACCACTGAGCTAAATCCCCGGCCCACTACCAAGATTTTTGAGGCCAGGGAGAACGTGTATGCAAATGCTAAGACTCTCATGTGGTTCAGTGTGTTGACTGCTCATGAAGAACATGCGGAGTGAGAAGAACAAGCAACAAACTGCAGGACACATTGCTATTTAAGAGCCAGGCAGAAACAGAGAAACCAACGAGGGACATTGATAAAAAAGAGGGAAAACAGAAGCCCAGGGAAGAATGCATTCCAGGAAGGAAGACCTGGTTATCTATGTTTTTAGATGATGTTAAGAGCGAATAAAATGAGGATTGGAAAAAGTTCATTGGATTTGGCCATACAGATCATCTTAGTGCTCACCTTATAAATAACTTCAGTTGAGTGGTGCGGTTCTAGGAAGGGTTGCATTGGGTTTAGAGCAAATGGGAGATGAGGAATTCAAGACTGTGAAGAGAAGAGTAGAGAGCTATGATGAGGAGGTGTGGGGTTAAGAAAGGGGTTCAATTACCTATATTATTTTTAGCGGCCAAGATAATATCCAGAAATGAGAAAAACACAAACTAAAAATTGGCTACAATCTCACCTCCCTGAATAGTTTGATGTCCATCCTCCAGATGCTTGTGTATATGTGTGCATGTATACAGACTCATACATAAACATACAAAGATATGCATATATTTTCAACCTTAAATGAGTAATTTTTAAAAAGCAATGGGTTTACATTCTATTTATGCCTAGAGTTCACTTATTTTTCTTACCACATTTTGGATATCTTTGAATATCAGTCTGTAAAGACTTACTCTTTCTAGTAGTTGAAAATATTCCATTTTGTGGTTGTAACGTAATTTATTTGCTCAATCCCATTGATGGGTATTTGAACTGTTTCCCTTTTTAAATCATTATAAACAAATGGTACAACAAAAATCCTTAGACATATATCTTTCTTTTTGGTATTGAACTAATGACCTTGTGCTTGTGAGGCAGGCATAGTGCCACTGAGCTAAATCCCCAGCCCCACATTTCAAATTTTAATAGCTTTTATAAAATTGTCCTCTGAACAAATTGTATTATCAATAGTCTATATGAATACTGATTGCTCTACAACTATACAGTATTATTAGAAAAGATTACCTAAAGAGGAAAAAATATAAAAATAAAAAGAACAAAGAAATAACAAAAATAAAGTTAAAAAAATCATTGCCATCCAGATTAGTGGTACATACCTCTAATCCTAGCACTCTGAGAGGCTGAGGCAATATGATCACAAATTCAAGGTTGGCATAGACAACTTAGTGACTTAACAAGAACTTGTCTCAAAAAATAAAAAAAGGTCTGGATTGTAGTTCAGTGCAAAGGCCTTGGGTTCAATCCCAAATTTGGGATTGCAAAAGAAAAACAAATCATTGCTAGAGGTAAGAGCCAATAAATCTAAGATTAATAATTAAAAATCACAGAGGGTGGATTTGGGTGTATGTGAAAAATTTTTCTAATGCTTTTTAAAAAAAATTTTTTTATTTTTTTGGTACCACTGATCGAACTCAGGACCTTATGCTTGTGAAGCAGTCAGTGGAACCACTGAGCTAAATTCCCAGCCCATTTTTTTTTTTGATTACCACTTTTTTTTTTTCTGGTACTGGGGATCAAACTCAGGATCTTTTGCTTGCCAGGCAGGTGCAGTGCTACTGAGCTATGAGGTGCAATGCCTTAATTACCACTTTTAAGGAATGAAAGAGATATTTGAAGATTGTGTAGTTCCTTGTTACTAAGATCAGCAACTAATACATATAATTAATAGTTTAGGGAGTTTTTTTACATAAACGATTTATTTTGATCTTTATAATTCACGTGTAAGTAATAATATTTTTTAATGAGAAAATGGGAGGCTCAGTCTCAATGTCCCTCAGTTAATAAGAGGTGGAATTATGAATTTTTTGGACCTGTAATCCTGTCTCTTTCCTTTGTATTCTGTAAAGTTTGAAATAATTAGCCATCAGGAATAATGTAGAGTTGAGTCCTGATTTAATTAAGATAATTTCAACTCTAAACTCTCTGTGATTTGTCCTAAATTCAGTAAGGGAGTGGTTTGGAGAAGGGACATGAGAGATTTTGAAGTCCCATTAATGTGGTGGCCAAAGTGATCCAGTAAAAGACACTGATATAGAACACAGCAGAGTCTCTCGTACTACTGGGATTCCAAGAATAGGTCACAAGTTGAAAGAAAGAGATATGGCCAAATATTACAGATAAACCATAAACAATGAAAAGTGTTTCATTTGGTGATTCAGAAGTTCATACTGACCTCCAAGAGAGAAATTCGTTAAGTGTCAAAGGCCTTGTGGGATTCAAAGGTCACCGAGAGGGGAGGAAGGCAAAAGGGAGTTTCTTTGGAGGAGTTTGGTGGCGTGGGAAAGTGGGCAGCAGTTCAGGGGATTGTCAGGGTCAAGTGAGAGGATTCTTAGGAGGGAAGCTTTGAACTTATTTGTTGGGAGAAGAGAATAAGCTAACAGGGAGGGAGAGATTAAAGCAGTAAAGGGATAACCAGTGAAGTTAAATTTCAAGAGGAAGTGGGTGGGAAAGCAACCCAGGGACCCAGGGTGCCACTGGATGAGAGCTGGGTCTGTGTAATATTTGTGCAGTGCTTCTTTGATCCTACTCAGACCTGGAAAAGGGCTTTGACGTGAAGGTGTGAATGTAGGAGCAGAGAACAAGAGAAGTGTAGCTCAGCTTTGCCATTAAAGCCCTATGTGACCTTGGGCAGTTATTATTTTGGGCAGTTTGCTAGTATTTTCTTTATCTACAAAATAAAAAGATAGAACAGAATGATCTATATATGAATGAAGCTCTGTAAACCCTTTATTAATGAACTAGGGGGAGAAGTATGTATGGAAAGGTCCTGCTGCTGAGGGCTGCCTGTATTTCCCCAGGTAGTAGGCTGCAGTTTTTGAGGATGAGAACAGGGCCCTAGATGGTATTGCTGTCAACCCTGCTGTGCTTGTCAATCTTCAGGTATGGCAAGCGTGTGGCAGATATCAAGGAGAGTAAGGAATATATGATTGCCAACAGGTAAATGTGGGGAATGGGATCTGGGAGAAGGGATGAACTAGGAATCTCTCCTGACTTGCTCTTACCCAAGCCACCATGAGTTTCCCTATAGACCTATTTCTTCAACCTCAGAATCTGCTGTTGGCCAACAGGTTCTTGCACTTTCTTTCCAAAGCTAACATTGGCCCTGAACCTTCTTCCTGCCTGTTACCCCTTCCTAAACACAGCTCTCTTCTGGTCTGCATGTGGAGTATTTAAGAGGATGGGGCAGGCAATATTCATTATTTTCCATTTGCCTTCCTCAGTGGCCAGTTTCACTGTCAACGGCGGCAGTTTCTGCGGATGGCTGTGAAGGAGCTGGAGACCGTGTTAATGGATGAGCCAGGACTACTGGGTCCTAAGGCAAGACTCAAATGTTGGGAGGGATCATGACTAATGATAAGGGCCTCAGTGAGGGAGGGACTTGGCCTTCTTTTGTGTTTTTGTCTTGTGATCTATTTGTATGAGTTTATGCTGATTTCTTGAATCTTGAAGTACTCATTGTATATCTGTTTATTTGGCAATGTTATAGTATGTCCTGTATTATAGCTATGTGTGCACTTGTCCTATCTTCTGTGTGAGAGTGAATTAGTTGATGGCAGAGCTTGCTTTTTTATTTTTATGTATTTATTTATTTTGGTTTTTGAGACAGGGTCTCACTATGTACTTGAGACTGACCTGGAACTCACTAGTAGCCCAGGCTGGTCTTGAATCCACAGCAATCCTCCTGCCTCAGCCTCCTGAGTGCTGGGATTACAGGTGTGTGCCACCATGCCTGGCGCTTTTTAATTTTAAACCATACAAATTCTGAGTAAATATTTCTAAAATTTAATTTGGTGGGGCAGGGAGGTACTGACTGTGAACGGATGGTAACACACGGGCATGTCTGAATCTCTGTCGCGTGCTTGAGGTGTTTTGTGGGTCTGTGTGTTTATCCCTGGACACTGTTGATATGACTACATGACTGTGTCCATGTGCAGATTATCCTGGTATTTTCCTCTGTGCTTTGAAGTCCATTGATAAAGTTGAATATTCTAATAGCCCCTGTCTTCTCCTTAGGCCCTTTTTGCTTTCATGGCCTTGTCCTTCATTCGTGATGAAGTCACCTGGCTGGTTCGCCATACAGAAAATGTCACCAAGACAAAGACACCTGAAGACTATGCTGACTCGTTAGTACTTGACATGGTTAAAAACCTTACCTGTAGATGCACTGGGAAAAGGGGCCAAGTGACCTCAGAAAGCCTCAATTTGTGCCCTGTAATCACTGGCTGTCTCATTCATATTTCTAGTCTCATGCCTCTTCTGTTCTCATCCTCACCTTCACAGGAGCATTGCTGAGCTACTTTTCTTGCTGGAAGAGATCAGGGCTCTGGTGCGAAGACACATCAAAGTGGTACAGCAATACCACCTTCAGTACTTGGCCAGATTTGATGCTCTTGTGCTCAGTGACATCATTCAGGTGTGTTTAATTGATTATACTTTGGAAATTTCAGGGTGACCTCTGGTCATTTTCTTCTCAAAGCCATGTTGACTGAATCTCATGCTTTGTAGACTGGGTACCAAAAAGACTGATTTCTTCCTCTTTATTTGTTAAAAGAATAAACCATGGGTAATTTTAGCAGTCTTTCCCCCGCTAAGTGATAGTACATAGAAATAGGAGAGAAAAATAAAGACAATTTGAATGTTAACATGGCAGGGATCACAGGAAGTTCCCCCTCTCTCATGCTTGGCTCCTGCTTTTGGCACCTAGCATTTCTTCCTACCTATGTACACTTACTGAGCTGTGGTCCTAGTTTCTGTCCTGGCAGAACCTGATCCCACTGACAGCAACTCCAACCTCTCTTTAGAACCTGTCTGTGTGTCCAGAGGAGGAGTCTGTCATCATGTCCTCATTTGTCAGTACCCTCTCCTCGTTGAATCTCAAACAAGGTAACTGAAGGGAGGTCGGGGAGGCAGGGCATATGTGAGGGTCAGTTGTTTTTTCTAAAGGTACTGGTCTTTGAGGCAGGGTATAGAACATGATGACTTTGAAGATGACCTACCATTCTGCAGTTAGACACTAGGATGCTGCTTTATTGTTCCCTTTCATACTTGCTTCTGTTTTTCTTGCAGTTGATAGTGGAGAGAAATTTGAATTCTCTGGATTGAGGCTGGACTGGTTCCGTCTTCAGGTAATGGTCTGTTTCTGTTAGTGGCCCTGTTGTCAGATTCTTCCTCTCCTATATCCCTTCTCTTTTTATTTCCTGAGCTCTGCTTTGTGACGCGTGAACCTTGAGAAGTGATGACTGGATAAGACACACCTAGGACAAACCCCAGTGCTAAGGCAGGGGTGCTGATTCATTCACCTTGTTTTCCCTGCCTTCTTCCCGCCATCACTGTCAGGCATACACCAGCGTAGCCAAGGCCCCCCTTCACCTGCATGAGAACCCTGACCTGGCCAAGGTGATGAATCTCATTGTCTTTCACTCCCAAATGCTGGACTCAGTAGAGAAAGTGCTGGTGGAGACTTCTGACCTGTCTACTTTCTGGTATGTCCTGGTCTGGGCATCTTATCAATTTATTGTGATCTTTTTCCTGGCATTCATGTTCTACTGTAATTTTCCTAGAAATCTTATTTTTTCACTCTCTTAAAGCATATATTTGATGCCAGAACTCACCCATGGCAGCTTCTACCAGTAATCCTTAGGAATGGGATTGAGGATTGTGCTGTATTTGTCCTTGAGAGGAAAGCTACTTGAACTGGGGATTTAGCTCAGTGGCATTGCGCCTGCCTGGCAAGCACAAAGTCCTGAGTTTGATCTCTGGTACCAAAAAGAAAAGCTATTTGGACTTTACACAATTTTCCCTTCGCTAGGCTAGTTCATCGATATGTCTTCTAGTCTTTTCTCATCTTCATTGTTTTCTTTGGAAACTTCAGCTTTTTTTAAAAAAAGCTCTTGGGACTTTGATTTAAAAGAAGCATGAGAAACTTGGAAATTTAAGCTGGAGAATAGGGCCTTTGGAAAATAAACATTTGCTTTGTTGTCCATAGGTAACACCCAACAGTTATTAGGTGCTACTTTTTTAATATAATTGTATTATTGGAAGGATTGCACAACAAAACAAAATACAGTATGTAATTTCTGTTCTCTGAAATCAATATAAATGGGAGGTATAATACCCATACATTAAAAGAACATCAACTCAATGGTTACAAATGTAAGAAAATGCAAAGAGAGTGCATGAAATTGAGAGGATATAGGATTGAGGAAAAATCAGTCTCAGGGAGGCTTTTTTGGAGCCTGTGTGTCAAACTTTGGGAGAAATATGAATTTAGAGGTTCTTTTTCTTTTTGCTTTTTGAGACAGGGTCTTACTATGTTGATTCAGGCTGGCCTCGAACTCGTAGTGATCCTCTGGCCTTAACGTGTGCACTACCATGCCCAGCCAGAATTTTTTTTTTTTTTTTTTTGGTGCTGAGGATTGAACCCTAGGCCTTGTGCATGGTAGACAAGCATTATACTACTGAGTATTTACCCAGTGCTGCATTTAGGATTCCTAAATTAGGAAAAAAGGCCCAAATCATGCAACAGTTTTGAGGGAGTACCAAATTTTGTGCAGGGGAATGGAAGAAGATAAACTGCCCTGGGGTTTATTATAAAAGTCTGAAAGGGTTACGTTTCTGTGGTTCCCTTCTCTCTCATGGGTAGGTAAATTAGGAAGTAGTGAATTTTAATAAATATTTATTGAAAGAATGACTATTTTGTCTCCACGTCAAAGGGCCTAGCTCCTACATCTGGTTTTAAGTCCCTTCCCCTTTCTCTGCAGCTTTCATCTCCGCACCTTTGAGAAGATGTTTGCTATGACCCTGGAGGAACCCACCATGTTGCGTTATGCCATTGCTTTTCCCCTCATCTGTGCCCATTTTGTCCACTGCACTCATGAGATGTGCCCAGAGGAGGTGGGTATCCTGAACTCCAAGCCCTGGTGTCTTTCTAGTCATCTCTTGTCCTTATTCTCCAAAACAAAACCCCAGGGATTGGTTTTGGTCCTAAGAGGAATATAAGCATTGGTTTGTGACATGAGCGCCTTAAGATCTCAGTTGATGTCGAGTTGTCTTCTCTCCCTGGACCTCAGTTTCTTCTTCTGTAGAAGTGGGTGGCACAGGCAAGGGGACTTGAGCAGTATGATAAGGAAGCAGTAGTGGTCCTGGTGATAACAGCTGCTCCCTTTGTCTTCCCCTTAGTACCCTCATCTGAAGAACCATGGTCTTCACCATTGCAATTCCTTCCTGGAAGAGTTGGCCAAGCAGACCAGCAACTGTGTCCTGGAGATCTGTGCTGAACAGCGAAACCTGAGTGAGCAGGTAGGCTCAGGCTGCTCTTTGTCTCCTGCTCCCAGTTCCTTCTCTCTCCACCTTTGTTTTCCTCTCAGATGTCAAGTTTTCTACCTCTTCCTCCAGCAGGGTGATGAGGGCTTTTATGTGCAGGCACTTATAGCCAGATTCCTTTCTTAGTGTAGTCTCTTCTGCCCTTACTCCCTTAGGACCACAGAGAGGTGTCTAAAAATATTCCCATTTAAACAGTTGCGCTCTAGTGTAATTGGTGTCCCATTTGAAGAGTTCTGGGAGATGAGTTAATTTTCCAATTTACTCTCCTCCTATCTGCCCTGCATACACATGCTTAGGGCAGTGGCCCCAGATCCCGTTTTGTCTCACCCTTCTGTTTGTCTGCTCCCTAAGCTGCACTATCTGAATATCCTCAGGCTGCTTTTTTGCCTTTGTCTTCTGGTCTTTCCCTTCCCCGCCTTTGACTGACTCACAGCACCTGGTCATGATTAGCTCAACCTAAATTTCAGACAACTTGAAAATGAGGAAGTAGTTTGGCTGTTGCCCTGGAGTCTTAGATTTCCCAGACTTTCCACACTTCCTGGGTTTGAGTTAGGCTTTGTATCAAATTTGGTAGAAAGGGAGCTGATGTGTGTGCAGTGTGACATATCTACACATTTACATGATTACTTAACCCTTCATTTTCTCATGTAAAGTGAGGATAGGAATATTTTCTTCACAGGGGTGTGTATCATAAAGATTAAATTAGAGTACATGGAATATTTGGCATATGGCACTCAATACATATTAGCTCTTATTTTTTGTAACTTTTTTTTTTCTTTTTTGTGGTACCAGGGATCGAACTCTGGACCTTGTGCTTGCAAGGCAGGCGGCAGAACCACTGATCCAAATCCTCAGTCCCATTTTTTTTTCCTTGGAGACAGGATCTTGCTTTGCAGTGCGGGCTGGCTTTGAACTCATAGTGATCTTCCTGCCTCAGCCTTCTGAGTGAGTGCTGGGATTACAGATATGCACCACGGTGCTCAGCTAAATGTTAGTTCAAGTACCCTTATGCTAGATGTTTGGGGTAGGAACAATTCTTGCACTGTGGAATGTTCCATTTCAAAAAGGGAATATAAATACATGTTTGAAAGACATGTAAATAATTACTACAAGGAAGATATGCAAGTGAGTATACTTACAATATATTTATCACTCAAGAATATTAAGTACAAGTACCAGCTCCCCGCAATGTATTGCACATATGTACTAATAATTTTTTTAAGTTAGAAAATGAATATTGACCATATGCAAGGGACACAGATGAAGAGATCTGCTCATTGTGTAGCAGGAATGACTAAACCATGCTGTGAGTAATTATTTTCACAGCACCAGAACTTTCACAACCAAATGAGTATTGGCCCTCCGGAGACAACATTTTGGGTAAATCATTAGTGATATCACTATGACTAATACAGTTACATTTGGGGGGACTGCTTTCAGAATTTACCACAGACATTTTTGCATTATATCAGGGCTGCTACGCCTTTGTCCATCAAGATGAATTTGATTTCTTGGGAACACCCAGAGTTTGGATTTAAAACAAGGAAGTGTGAATCCTGGCTCTCTGGGCGACTGAGATGGGAGGATTGCAAGTTTGAGCTCAGCCTGGGCAATTTAGGGGCTTAGTGAGACTCTATGAAAACAAAAACAAACAAACAACAAAACAAAACAAAAAATACAAACAAACCCAAAGACAGTGCTAGGGATATAGGTTGACAGAAGGCCCCAGATTAGGTATAACCCCCCTCCAAGGGTGACTGTAAAGTAACAAAACTAGTTTTCTTATGTAGCTTTTCTGCTGATCTAAAAGTGATTCTTGCTGAGGGGTTTCCAGACATGCTCTGAATGTGTGTTAAACCTGGAATCAATGGAAAGAATTCCAAGGTAATTCCCTAAAGATGACACCTGGATATCCGATTTTATCTTCTATTTTCTATATGGTTAACTAGAGATGAAAAGAGATGCCTAACTGATGTTTAAGCAAACTAGAAAGAAATATATTTCAACAAAAGGAGAGTGGGGAGAGAATGTCGGCCACCTTGTGAGCTCTGAGTTGTGGAGGGCTGTGGGGGTGTAGGTGACTGTTTTCACAAGACAGAATATAAAGGAATGTAGCAAGTGAGATGATTGTTGCATCTAACAAAAAGACAACTGTTTTCCTAAGGCTGGAAGATGGTGACAGAAGAGCTGAGAGGAGTGGTTGATCTTATTCTTTGTGCTTGAAATTTTCTCTTAGGAAAGACTCTCAGGATGGGGTGGGGAGTGATGTTCTGAATCTCAGTAGATTCTGCCATCTTGAGACTGGGAGGCTGGCCTTACATGAGGAGAGATTTATAGAAATGGACAAAGGTTGAGCATGCTCCAAATAGGCCCCTATCAGAGGAAGAGAAGCAGAAAGATAAAAGAGCAGACCATAATGGAGAGACCTTATTATAACTGTTAGATGAGGTACTCAGTTGCAGGTTTAGCAATGAATCTCATTTTCTCCATTCACCTTGTTTGTTTCCAAAGCTTCTGCCTAAGCACTGTGCCACAACCATCAGCAAGGCCAAGAATAAGAAGACCATGAAACAGAGGCAGGCTCCCAGGAAAGGCGAGCCAGAGAGGGACAAGCCAGGAGCTGAGAGTCACCGGAAGAACCGCAGCCTTGTCACCAAGTAAGGACTGTGCCCCAGGGGACAAAGTGGTGCTGCATCAAAGAAGGGAGAAAATTGAAGTGGGAAGTGATATGTAGGGGGGAAATGTAGAAGTGATGGTGAGAAATGATGGATATGGAAAAGCACTTACATGTGAATGTCTATTTGCTTTTCTTCTTCTTTTTTTTTTTTTTTTTTTTTTTTTTTTTTTGGGGAGTGAACTCAGGACCTTGCTCTTGCAAGGCAGGTGGTGGCACCACTGAGCTAAATCTCCAGCATCTGCTTTTGAAGTCAGCATTGATCTACGCTGAGTATCCCTGGAAGATGAAAGGGGTCCAAAGGCCAGGGACTGACACATCCCACCCAGGTACTTACAGATAGTGCCTGCCAAACCCCTAATTAATACTCATTTTTCTTTCCAGCATGGACAAGCTACATCAGCACTTGATGGAACTGGCACTGGCTATGAATCATGTACATAGTTTCTCTGTGTTTGAACACACTATCTTCCCTTCTGAGTATCTCAGCAGTCACCTGGAGGCCAGACTCAACAGGTATCCCTCTTTCTTTGTCTGTTTTCGCACAGTACAGTAGTCTGCGATGTTGGGCTCCGTTGGGTCTGTTCTGGTGGTCATGCCAACATGCTGGAGATTCTGATGCAGTCTGTCTGGCATGGGTCCCAAGTACCTCTAGGAAAAACAAATGAAAAGAACCCCTGATCTGTGTAGGTGGTTTTGATGAACAGTCAGAAATAACTACCCCTGATTTAGTAGATGAGCAGAGATGAGCAGTCAGTAGAAATATATTGACATCCAGACCGTGCGAGATGACATTGGAGCAGAATATCTAGCTTATCTGAGCCAGTTTTCTTTTGTGCAAAGTAAGGATAATGATATTTACTTTATAGATAATTACAAATTACCTGTAATTGAGAATTGGTAGACAATTAAAAATAATTAAGAGTACAAAGTTCCTCACATATAACAGGTCTTAGTAAAACAAATTTCCTTTCCTTTTTGCCCCTCATTCCCTTGTTTCCTAAAGTAGGAGTAGCACCCCCTTATATTGGAATTGGATGCTGTAGGCATCAATTAGGGAAGACTTGTGAATAATCCCTTAGTCTTCTGTGTTTTGTTTTGGAATATGTAGCACATTCATGAGTTTATTCAACAAGTATTTATTGAACATCTACCATGTGCCAGGAATATTCTAGAAGCTGTTAATATTGCGGTATACAAAATAGATAAAAATCCCACCTCATGAAATTTAGCTTCTAGTGTGGGGAGGTAGACAGACAAAATAAGAAAGCAGAATAGGTGGTAGATTATGTAGTAATAAATGCTAGTGATTAAAAAGATAAAATAGGAAAAGGAGATGAAAGTGTTGTGTATGTATGCATGGGGGAGGGTTACAGTTTTAGATAGAGTGGCCAAGGAAAGCCTCTTTGAGAAAGTAGCATTTGAGGAAACCTGTGAGGAACTAAGAAATCCAGGCATGCAACAAGTATTCTTGTTTGAGGTAGAAACATTCGTAGTACATTTGAGGAATGTGGAGGCGTCCAGTGAGGCTGCCACCAAAAGGCCTGTGAAAGGTGGGAGAACCTGAGGTTCAAAGGGGCAGAGGAGGGGCCTGGGCCTGTAAAGACCTGGGTTTTTTTATTTGAGGTGGAGGCCTTGGCTAGTTTTGAGCAGAGTTTAGTAATTTTTGCCTCCACGTCTCAGTCTGGCTGTATTACTAGGAACAAGGACTTCGAGAAACAAGGAGACAAGTTTTGAGTCTTGAGTTTTGATTCTGGAAGATGCAGACTTATTTTTCAATCAGGCTTTTACTTGATTGCAGTAAAATTAGTTTGTTTTCATGGCAAACACATTAGCTATAGGGAAGGAAGTGTCACATTTGCGTGCGCAGTGTCAAGAAGATGACAGTGTGGTAATGCCGTGGGCACACCTGGAGAAGCTGTGGTGGTTTCCAGGCTCTGGAGGAGTGGATGTGATCATTTGATTTTCTCTGAATATCTCTGGTTTTTGCTTCGTGGACATCATTGTTCCCAAGGCCACAAGGCTGGCCTAGGTGTTTTGCTGTCAGTTTGCCCTGTCAAGTGGTACTGGAAAGCTCTCTTCTCTTTCAACTGCTCCAAATAGGGGAGCAGACTCTCCTTCCCCCACAAACATTTTGCAAAAGATGCCAAACAAAAACAAAAAATTCCCAAATACTTTGTGGTTTCCAAAGAATCTGAGAAACTCATTTATACTGAAGTGCAAGTGACTGATAAAGGCTGAAAGCTTTACCTTTTTATACGGAAAAAAAGCCTAAGTCAGAGACAAACCCTAACACCTGAGGAAGGCATTCTGGAAGGAGTGGGGCTAGGGGGCTGGCGGGGGAGGCTCTTCCTGGTGTTCCACCCTGAGGGGGCTATGTGCCGGCCACATGTACTCTGGCCACCCACAGCACCTGTGGTCCCTGGGGACACTTCCAAGGGTTTCTGAGGATAGTTTTCCATTTCTGACAATGGTTGGAACTAATATATCCCAAGGAGGAAAGTCAGTTATTGACACTGAGAATGCAGGTGGTGTGAGCCCATAAAGTCAAATGAAATTTGGGATTTCTCCAGAGGAGGCAGAAGAATGTAATGGTTAGAGATTAAATTTTACCTGATTCAAGTCCTAGCTCTGCCACTTGCTAGCTGTGCAGTCTTCAGCAAATAATTTAGTATTTATGTCTCGGTTTTGTTACCCATAAAATGGGATAATATTGTTCCTACGTATTGATTTGCTATGAAGTTTAGTTTAAATACTATGTGTCATAAAATCATAGCTCAGTGCCTGGAACACAGAATACACGCAACAGTTGTACTGTGTTTATCTCTGTAATTGTAACTATGATTTTTATCACTTAGAGCCATTGTGTGGCTGGCTGGCTACAATGCCACGACTCAGGAGATCCTAAGGCCTTCCGAGCTGTTGGCAGGAGTCAAAGCATACATTGGGTTCATACAATCGCTGGCCCAGGTTTTGGGTGCAGATGTGTGCAGAGTCATCCGCAATGCTCTCCTGCAGCAGACCCAGCCCCTGGACTCTTGTGGGGAGCAGACCATCACCACGCTCTACACAAACTGGTCAGTGATGCTTGTCTCTTCCCACTGGCTTACCTTTATGTCAGCAGTTTTTTATTTTTTGTTTTGTTTTGTTTTGTTTTTGAGACAGGGTCTCACTTTGTAGTTCACCCTGGTCCTGAACCACACAGCCCAGGTTGGCCTCAAACTCACTGTGATCCTCCTTCCTCAGCCTCTTGAGTGCTGAGATTACAAGCATGCGCCACCACTCCTGGCTCAGCAGTTTTCTCTTTACACAGGAGGACTTCAGGGCCCAGGCATCTTACCCTCCAGATCATGGACCTTCAAAGGCTTGTTTTCACTTGAGGATTGGAATAATAAGTAGGGGGCAAATCCAGACCTCCTTCTGTCCACTGAGAGATTCCCTTCTACGCTTGAGTATAACACCCACAAACTTACCCTTGATTTCTTTCCTCTTGATCTCGTGCTTAACCTTCCTTTTCTGGATTTGTATTGTTTTAATTTCAAATGACCTCACTTCCTTTTTGCCATCTTATTTCTCTTTTTGCCCTAGCTTCTCCCTTCGAGAACCATTCTGTCTGTACCCTTGCCTCCAGAATACTGTCTCCTCATCCCCACACGTGACTGTGTCAAGTATACTAGATTATTCCTGATAGGGAAGGGACCTCCTCCCTACAACTGAAAAAGTTTCCTTTAAATTTATAAGGAATGGAGAACCAGATTCCTACCTCCCCAAGCCACTGGGTGGCACCCTTAATTTAATATCAGCTTTGCAAGAGATGTTTCAAAGAGGAACCCACCCTCTCACCCTGTCCCCCTTTCCCCCTGTCACCAATAAAGAGGAACAAAGTTTGCAAGTTCAAATGCCAAAAGGAATCAAGCAGGTACCACAAAGATGTCATATGCTAGGAAGGACTTGGAGAGGTTGGAGAGGGACTGTCCCTCTCTAAAGGGGATGGCCACCACTTAGCACCACCTGAATGCTTCCCACTAAAGTCTTATTATTTTATGTAAAATCTCTGTTTCAAAACTTTGATGACTCATTTAAATTAAGACAAAAGTATGTTTGGCTGCTTGGATTAGTCCACTGATGGTTAACTTGTGACCTCAGTAAAATATAGACATGAGTGGCAGGGTTTATCAAACTCTCCACTACTGCCACTAGCCAGAGCCCAGCCCTTCCAACGTTGCAGAGAAATTAGGAGTGTTTGGAGACCGGCAGGCCATTTTTTAGGGGTTTCTCTGCCCAGAAAGTTTGACATGAGACCTGCTTCCAGGAGTCTGACTCTTCAGTACAGCATTTTCACTGGAGAAGTTGGGGCTAAGTATATTTCAGAGGAGCCCCAATTAGTAAGTTATTTTTGTTCATTTGTTTTTTCTGCTAGGGATTGAACTTAGAGCCTTGTACATGCTAAGCAGGTGCTCTGCCACCGAGGTACACTTAGCTCCCAGTAGTAGTATTTTTTAAAATCTCACGTTGATCCTGTCTTACCTGCCACAGGGTAAGCATGAGGGAATGGAATTGATGGAAAAGAGCAGGGGCTGAGGGAAAAGCATCTTTTTGGTAAGTGTATACCATTGCATTTGACAGCAGGTTAGAGGCCAAGTGGAATTGTACTACTGCTGGTTGTTTTTGATCGAACACCTTATGGTGTTATTAGATCTCTGTATTATCTTCTTTGAGTCTTCTCTTCAACCTCGGTCTTTAGTGGAGTTTCTCTTCCCAAGCCCAGTGGTGGTGCAGGGAGCAGTGGCAGGGAGAATGGAGTGGACAGTAATCTATGCTTTCTTGGCCAACTTTGTAGGTACTTGGAGAGTCTGCTCAGACAGGCGAGCAGTGGAACCATTGTCCTCTCCCCAGCCGTGCAGGCCTTCGTCAGCCTCCCCAGAGAGGGTGAGCAGAACTTCAGCGCAGAGGAGTTCTCAGATGTCTCTGGTGAGCTCAGGGCCTGTATCCTTCTCAAGGAACTTAGCCTTTCCCCTCAAACAATATCTGTAAGTCTTAATCTTGGTTGTCTTGCTTCCCCAGAGGCCCGTGCTGCATTCTTTTCAGCATCTCTGCAAGAGTCTGCTGGACTTTGTGGATAATAAAAAGATATTCTAAACAAGGTCCAGAATTGAAGCATGGCCTAGGGGATGGTGATGGAGAGGGAGAAAGAGAGGAGTTTAGGACTTAGGTAATGACACGCAAGTTACTGAGGGAATGCATTTTTCAAAGGGCGGAAAATGGATTTTCTCCTTTTCAACTAAGAAGAAAGGTGAAGTATATATAGTGATAGGTAAAAGATAAAGTGTAAGGAGGACATCTCTTGCTTGGAAGAATCGAACATCATCTTCCTTGGGGATGAATTTTAGAGCCTTAGCCAATATTTCAGATTGCTGATGTTTAATACTGTAGTAACGATGATGATGACGTGACAAATGACATTCACTGTGAGCCAAGTTCTAAATGTTTACACATAATAACTCACTCAATCCTCACAACAGCCTTGAAGTAGATACTTTGTTTTTTTGAAACTGGATCTCGCCATGTAGCCCAGGCTGGTCTGGAGTTTGTGATCCTCCTGCCTCCTGAATGCTTGGATTACAGACAGGTATCACCACGCCTGGCTTTAGATATTATTCTCATTTTTGAGATGAAGACACTAAGTATGAGGAAGTTAAGGTGCTTGCCTAGGTTGATGTATTTATAAATGGTAGGACTGGGATTTTTGATTAGAGGCAGTCAAACTCTAGAACAGTGCGGGGCTGCTTCCCAGTAGATGCAAGTACTTTTGTGAGGGGAGGCAGGTAAAAGGTATGTAGTGAATGAGTTGGGAAACTGTTCCTCTTTTAAATATGGCTTGCAATCATACAGATCCATGGTTTTTAAAAGCAGTACTGGGAATTGAACCCAGGGAGTTCTACGTTACATCCCCAGTCCTTATTTATTTATTTATAAATTTTGAGACAGAATCTCACTAAATTGGCCAGTCTAGCTTCTAACTTGTGGTCCATCTGCCTCAGCCTACCAACTGAGTAATTCATGAACTATCCTACTTCTTCCTTGTCTCTCTCACCTCCATTTAAATCATGGGTTGTGCATGGTATCTGGGATAGACAGAAGATGTTCTAGTGACCCTTCCCTCTCCATTTTCCTCCTTATCTGAAGATGTTAAGAAAGCCAGAGTGGGCCGGGGATTTAGCTCAGTGGGGCCTCCATCTGCCTCGCAAGCACAAGGCCTGAGTTTAATCCCCAGTACCAAAAAAAAAAAAAAGAAAGAAAGCCAGAGTATAGTAGTAACTCAGTTCACAAACTTAATTCTTTCCAATTCTAGTTGCATACTTAGTTGGACGAGAACCAAATGAAATGCAATAGTTAGGTTCTGTTTTCCAGTTCTGCTTCTTTTCTGTCATCTTGACCCTATCAGTATATGGTCCCCAGGCTACGTGCTGGAGGTTTTAGATGTCCCCTTCTCATCAACTCTACCCACAAGCTGTAGGCAGCCTCTAAAATCCACTTTAGGTCTTGCTGACAACTGACAAGCAGCAGGAGGTAATGCTTGTTCCCCCTTTCACCACCCCCACCCCAATTTCCCTTGATTGCCATGGTGATGGGGCAATGCTATGGTAAAAATAGAAAGATAGAAAGAGAAGGCTGCCCAGGGTTACTAGCTGGGGGTAGAGAACACTGGAGTAGGGAGGTTCTGCAGATCCACACCAGCAGATCAGTGTGCCTTCGCTCCATCAGCCCCAGAGAAGGCAATTCTGCCCCCCTCCCCTCTGTCAGCCATCTTACAATTATCTAAATTGGCCAACTAGGAAATACTATTAGAATGCTCAGCTTAATTATTTCTGTTGAAGATAGGCAACTCTGAAAATGTGTAGTGTCTACTCCGGGAAAGGCTCTGTGTCAGCTGCTGTGACCAGGTCTGCTTCCTCTATCACTGGTGGAGGTGGAGATCAACCGGTCCTGCCTTCAGAGACCAGAGTGTGGAGCTTTGGCTTTCTTTTCTGTCTATACTTTGACGAGTGATATTCAACTTGCCTGTCTTCTACTGGTCTCTCATCATTGTTGCTTTTGGTCTTTATTCATTTATTTATTTTTGTTACTGGGGATCAAACTTGGGACCTTGCACTTTCGAGGCAGGTGGCAGAACTACTTAGCTAAATCCCTGGCACCTTCTGGTCTTTTATGATTTCCCCTGCTAGGATGGCCCATAGCCAAAGATCATAGCTGTACCTCCCTCCTATCTGAATTGTCACTAGCTTTTCCCACTTGAAATTTCTGCAGGCAGGTTTTATTTAATTCACCAAGGTAAGGGCAGGCTGAGCAGGGATGGATAAGGTATTGAGGAACACTAAAGTTAGAGGAAAAACTAATTTAGAGGAAAAAGAACCAAGGCTCTAGAGACATGTGTTGATTATGAAAACAGAAAAGTTAGCTCAAGAAGAGGAAAAGTTGGATAATAACATGTTAAATAAGGGAAACAGAGGGAGGCATACCAAATACCAGGCCCTAGATAGAGAAGGAGTTGTTTCTTCAGAGAGGGGGACATTGCATTGCCGGGACAGGAAGGCATTGCAGTGGTTTTCTGGCCCTAACCTGATGCGATTAAGTATGTGAAACCATGATGAAACTCAGTTCCCCAAGCAGATGGCTATTGACAGCCATCATAATGAGAATACCTTATTCATATACATCCTTGTAGTTTTCTATGGTTTTTATAATGAAGTAGCTTACTCTCACATCAGTTCTGTGAGGAATTCATGAAAGATAACTAATTTATTTTATGCAAAAGTAAAGAGGCTCTGAGAGCTTCCGTGATTTGTTTGAGGTTGTCAACCTAACAAAATTCGTACAGGTAGGACAGCAAGAGGAGTAAGCAGGAGCTTGGGAAAGTACAAGTTCTTATAAGAAAACTAATAGTTATCATTTATGGTAAGCCTTGGTTTGAGTTCTGGTGGGAAGAGGTAAGTCATCCCATGGACAGGCCAGACCTGTCCTCTGAATATTGGATTTTAGACCATTTTTTGCTCCTTGACTTTCCATTTCCTTTCCTTGGTGGACAACATTTTATTGATTGATTGATTGATTGATTGATACTGGGGATCGAATACAGGGACTTCACACCAAGCTACATCCCCAGCCCTTTAAATATACTTTTTAGGGCCACGTATTTAGCTCAGCGGTTCTGTGGCCTGCCTTGGAAGCGCAAGGACCCGAGTTCAATCCTCGGTACCAAAAAAACAAACAAAATAAATATATTTTTAAAAAATTCTGAGACAGGGTCTTACTAAGTTGCTAATTTGCTTAGCTGAGCTTGAATTTGTAATCTTCCTGCCTCAGCCTCCCAGAGTGCTGGGATTCTAGGCATGTGCTACCATGCCTGGCTGGACAACATTTTAAATGTTTAAATTACCTGAGAGTTGTTGTCCAAATGCTCTAGTATGCTCTGAGTCCCGCGTGGGACCTCTGAAACTCTATTCCAGAGATGCGGGCCTTGGCTGAGCTCCTGGGTCCTTACGGCATGAAGTTTCTGAGTGAAAACCTGATGTGGCACGTGACCTCTCAGATCATGGAGCTGAAGGTACTGTGGACCCCATCCCCTCAACAACAACAACAAAAACCATCCTGCCTTGGGGACAGGGGTAGGTGAAGGAGACTGAGGGGAAGATAGAACATTTGGCCCCTTTTTTCCTACTTACTGTCCCTGTGTTCCTGAGCTGCAGAAGCTGGTAGTGGAAAACATGGATACACTTGTTCAGATCAGATCCAACTTTAGCAAGTCTGACTTGATGTCATCTCTGCTGCCCCAGCTGACAGGTAAACATCTTCTTGCATTGTGCACGGCAGGGTATTTCAGGGATCTGGGGGTTCAAACCTTTGCTATTCTCATAGGTTCTCTTCTCTAATGACCTTCTTTCTCCTCAGGGGCTGAGAATGTGCTGAAACGCATGACCATCATTGGAGTGATCCTCAGTTTCAGGGCCATGGCCCAAGAGGGGCTTCGAGAGGTGAGTAGGAGGGAACTGCCAGAGAATCAGAGTCGCCTCTGTGGTGGGGTTTGTGAGAGAAGCTTGTGAAAGGGGTTGGTGAGCACTGAATATAAGCCACGTAGCTTGGCAGGCGTCCTGGAAAATCCCTGTGGAGAGATGAGCTTAGGAAACCAGATGCATAAGGAGAAGTTCAGCTTGGAAAGCTGGCTAGGCTCTCTCTGAGTCAAGGCCCCTTTCCTGTTTGTTTCCACCTGTTTTTGGAGATGCTGGGTTCTGTCCTGTGGATTCACTCATCTTCTCTTTTTCCAGGTTTTCTCCTCCCACTGCCCATTTCTCATGGGTCCCATTGAATGCCTGAAGGAGTTTGTCACTCCAGACACAGACATCAAGGTAGGGGTGAACAGTGGAACCCAGCCAGGAAGCTGACAGGTAAACATCTTCTTCTTAGTCAGGAGGGTCTAGGGGAATAGCATTGTGCACGGCAGGGTATTTCAGGGATCTGGGGGTTCAAACCTTTGCTATTCTCATAGGTTCTCTTCTCTAATGACCTTCTTTCTCCTCAGGGGCTGAGAATGTGCTGAAACGCATGACCATCATTGGAGTGATCCTCAGTTTCAGGGCCATGGCCCAAGAGGGGCTTCGAGAGGTGAGTAGGAGGGAACTGCCAGAGAATCAGAGTCGCCTCTGTGGTGGGGTTTGTGAGAGAAGCTTGTGAAAGGGGTTGGTGAGCACTGAATATAAGCCACGTAGCTTGGCAGGCGTCCTGGAAAATCCCTGTGGAGAGATGAGCTTAGGAAACCAGATGCATAAGGAGAAGTTCAGCTTGGAAAGCTGGCTAGGCTCTCTCTGAGTCAAGGCCCCTTTCCTGTTTGTTTCCACCTGTTTTTGGAGATGCTGGGTTCTGTCCTGTGGATTCACTCATCTTCTCTTTTTCCAGGTTTTCTCCTCCCACTGCCCATTTCTCATGGGTCCCATTGAATGCCTGAAGGAGTTTGTCACTCCAGACACAGACATCAAGGTAGGGGTGAACAGTGGAACCCAGCCAGGAGGCTTTGGTTGTGGGAAAGGATGTAGCTGGCATCTTGTGAGGGTGAGAGTAGTCTCAAGAACACTGCAGGGACAAGGGCCTGGATTCAAACAAGAAAACTAGTCAGGCATGCTTATTAGGGGAGAGGCAGGGCAGAGTTGGGGAGACCTCGGGGGTGCAGAAAGAAGTGAGAGCCCTGTGGGAATCAGGGAAACATTCCGAAGGGAAAGGGGTGAGATCTAGGATGGTGGATCTAGGATAGCTTTTTACTTGAAATGAGCAATATGCAAATTAGATGCAGAGCTTGGACAATTTATAAGAAGATTTGGTTCTTTGATTCATATTCACCCTGTCTGCCTTCAGAGTTTTCTTTCTTTGCCTGGCCTTTTTTTCCCCCTCCCAGTTCTTAAACTTTCTCCCCCTTTCCTGTCCCATGTCTCTGTCACCTGTCTCAAGCCCCCAACAGAGGAAAAAGGGCTTCTGCAGATAACATGAATTAGATGTCCATTCCTCGCTCCACTCTGCCCCGTTCCAGTCAGCCTGTCTTTTGAATCTTAAATGTATTATGCAGGAAATGCAGTTGAAGCCTGGGGACAATGTCTTTCCAACAGAAAGTAGAGGCTACTTCTCTTATAATTGATCCTTTTAAAGGAAAGAGTTCTGATACAAGGGAACCTGGTAAGCAGAAAGAATTAAAATTGAATGTTAAGAAAAACGTACTAACTGTGGGATCAAAAGAGTTACGTACAGTCCCCCTCTGTCCTTCTGAAATTATATGGCCATGAGGGCAGTGAGGGGCGATGCCTCACTGGTTGGCTGCCCCACCTGAAGTCTCTTTGCTTTTGCACTGAGCCTGGGTTTCTGGCATCTACTGCTGTTGGGGCTGACTGCTCCAGCTGTCAGGAGCTTGACTAACTTGTGTCTCTTTGGAAGCCCTGACCTTTAGGCTCTGCTTGCCTGTGAAAATCAGCAGGTGGAGGCACAGAAGAGGGTGATGTGCCCACCAGAGGTTCTGTTATAGCCTCAGAGGCCTTATAAGATTAGAAGAGAAAAATGAGACCACTGTCACCATTTATTTCTTCCTCCAGGAAACCACAAGTCCCCAATCTGCTTGGCCATGGCTGTGACAAACAGGGTCATCTGGGTCATAGGGGATTTAAATAAAGGGTAGAGCAGAAGATGGCTGAGATTTGGCTCCAGTGTCAGTTCTGTGGGCAAAGTGTGTGTATATTATATGTGTGTATGTGGGGATTTTGGCATAGATGTGTTATGTAGTTGTCCACCATTGAAACAATTATTCTTGTTCTCTCAGGAAACTTTAAAAGAATTTTTTTATTAAACCCCGAAAGGCGGGTGTAAGTTCTTGTGTGGGAGTCGGGGGTTGGGGCTGTGTCCTCAGAACTTGATTCTAAGTACATTGAACAATTCAGGTATCAATCAATCAAACAATAAATCAGTAGTTATTTAATGCCTTCTATGTGCCTAGCATGGTGTTGAACTGCTAGAAAGGTTAAAGAAAAAGCACAGTTTCTGGCTCTAAGGAAAAGTGTCATGTGTGCTGTTTGTCACTAGGGCAGGTGCTTTTACACCTGTGGTCTAACTTAATCTTCACAGCAGTTCTGTGAAGTAAGTAGTAGTATTCCCATTTTATGAATGAGAAAACTGAGGCCCCAAGAGGTTGAGTAACTTTTAATTTTTTATTCTTAAAATTTAATTAATTAATTATTTTTATTTTTAATTTTATTTATTTATTTATTTTTGAGACAGGGTGTCACTAAGTAGTTGAGACTGACCTGGGACTCACTATGTAGCCCAGGCTGGTCTCGAACTCACAGCGATCCTCCTGCTCTCAGCCTCCCCAGTGCTGGGATTACAGGTGTGTGCCACCATGCCTGGCTTGAGTAACTTTTAGCTAAAGTTACACCTTTTTTTTTCTTGTACTGGGGATCAAACTCAGGACCTTGTGCTTATGAGGCAGGCAGGGTGCCACTGAGATAAATACCCAGACCTAAAGCTACACTTTTAGTAAGCAGCATTGCTAAGATTTGAGCCCAGATCTCTCTCTCTACAAAGCTGCCTTCACTCTTCACTATGCCAGGGGTTTTAAACACAGTCTATTTGGTGAGATAAGTCATGTGGTCCCCTCTGAAAAAATAACTGATACCAGATGCTGTGTGTGACCCATGCTAGGTCAGTGGTACCAATATGGGTTGAAATAGAAGGGTTCAGGCCTAAGCAGTCAGGGAGGACTTCACAGATGAGATTAAATTTATTTATTTATTTTTTGTACTGGGGATCAAACTCAGGACCTTGTGATTGCGAGGCAGGTGTGGTGCTGCTGAGCTAAATCCCTGGCCCAAGATGAAATTTGAGTTAAGGGAAAGGGCTGCTGTGTCATGCAGGTGTAGGTAGAGAAAAGGAAGGGATACTAGAGCAAGGGAAGGTTGTGAACCAAAATCTGAAAGAAAGGAAGTTGTAGTTGGAGACAGTGAATAAATTACCCTGGCTGCATTGACTGAATAAAACACTTAGGGAAATAAGGTTGAAAAATAAATTTGTACTGTGGGATGTCCTGGATACCATGCTAAAGAATGTGTTTTTTTTTTCCTCCTGTAGGATATGAAGAGCTATGAAAGGAATATCTAGAAAACATTGTAGCACATGAAAAATTTAAAAATTGTGATCCAAAAACTGCATATAATACCAGTACTCTGGGAGGATGAGGCAGGAGTTTTGCAAGTTTGAACCCAGTCTGGGGAACTTAAGAGACTTAGCAACCCTACCTCAAAATAAAAATGTTAAAACGGGGATGGAATATAGCTCTGTGTGAAGAACCTAGGTTTAATCCCAGTATGGTGTGTAGGGGGGGATTTTCTGTGATTCCTGAATCCTGTTGCTCATACCTTCTGGTACTTACTTTTCTCTTGGATTTGTTTCAAGAATGCTGTTTTCTTTTCTACCAGGTAACACTGAGTATCTTTGAGCTGGCATCTGCTGCGGGGGTAGGCTGTGACATTGACCCATCTCTGGTGGCTGCCATTGCCAATCTGAAAGCTGGTAAGAAAGGGGCAAGGGAATAAGGCAGGCTTGTGCCCTACTGTTGGGTGGGAAAATGTCAATGTCCAATGTAATTGTGAATTTGGAGGATATAAGTGGGAGGTAGGGAAGATTTAAAGTATAGATCCTAACTTCCAGCAAATACCTACAGAGATGACTGAGGTCCCTCCTGAGGTTCCAACCAGTTGATCTACCAGTCAGCTAAATAGTAGCTCTCAGTGAGTGACTGTTTGATGCTCAGCAAGTTCTGAAAGGAATTTATAATTGGGTTGGGGAGATGATATTAATGCAAATGAATCAATGAGAGAACACTTCAAAATGGTATGTGATTTCATGCTAAGTTGTGTAGTATAGTATCTAAGTTCCCCACAGTGATCTTGTGCTCTTCCCTCCCACATAATCACTTTGACACTATCCACTCCTCTGATCTCATACTTGTCTCTTATATTTTCCATAACACAGTTCCTATGATTAGCATGTTCGTACTTAACATACCCAGAAGAGAACGCAACCCAGCAGCTGGCATTAAGCCCTTTCAAAATTACAAGGCGCATCCCTTTCCTTCTATCTTGGTTGGTGAGACTCTTTTGCTCTCCTTTCTGCCTCTCTACCCCTGCAGATCTCTGACAGATGTCTTAGAGCCCTTGGCTAAGAGTCCTGCCTTTTGCAAGAGTGGCCTCCAAGACTCAGGCTGTCCCTATATGTGGGTGCGAGTCCTGTCTCCTTCAGCAATGACAATTTGCCTGCAGTGCTTGATAAAGTGTGTTCATCAATATTTTCCCATGTGAACATAATTCTGTACAATGGGATTCCTGCAAAGACAACCCCTGTTTGCTGACCCTTGTCACCTCTCTTTTTTTTTTCCTCTCATCAGATAGCTCATCCCCTGAAGAGGAATACAAGGTGGCCTGCCTGCTGTTGATATTTCTTGCTGTTTCCCTCCCACTCCTTGCCACTGACTCTTCTTCTTTCTATAGCATTGAGAAGGATGGTAAGTAAGGAGTAGCTTTGAGGAACAGTGCCATCTAAGTTAGTGTCCTGAAGTGCAATTGAGACAAGTGAGACAAAGACACTTACCTGAAACATACAGAGTTCTGATTCATGTTTAAATTTTTGTTTCAAGAAGCACTTGAGCTGGGGGTGTCTGCATACATCTGTAATCTCAGCACTCCAGAGGCTGAGGCAGGAGAATCATGAATTTGAGGCCATCCTGGTTATTTAACAGACTTTGTCTCAAAACAACAACAGCAACACAAAAACCAAGAAACACTTGAGAGTGGACAGTAAAATTTTATCCCAGCCAAATAAATATCAGACTATCCTTCTAACCCCCAACTGTCTTTTAGTTCTTTTAGTGTCAAATAGGAGAGACCCAGACTGAAAATATGAGAATTACCACTTGGGGTCAGGCTGAGATGACTCACTTTGTCATTCTGTCATTCTCTTTGTGTCATTCCCTCTCTATTCATGATAACCAAGGTTATAACAACAACATCCACTGCTTGACCAAGGCCATCATCCAGGTGTCTGCTGCTCTCTTTACGCTCTACAACAAGAACATTGAAACGCACCTCAAGGAGTTTCTGGTGGTGAGTAGGTCTAGATTGTAAGGAATGGGAGATTGCCAAGGGCTAGAATTTGTTTGGAATTCATAGACAGTGATTGTTAAACAGGCTTTCAAGTCTAAACTCCTACCTGATTCATTCAGGTAACAGTGAAAGGCTACTACTGTTGAAAAGGCAAGAGTTTGTTCTAAATTCCCCCAACAGGTGAAGAATACTAGGAAAGATTTCTGGACAAAGAGTAAGATAATCTGAATTCTACCACTACAAAGTTGAGTAACTTCTGAAGAGCCACACTTTTGGGGCCTTAGTTTTCTTACCTATAAACCATGAAGATTAAACTGAACCTTGGTCCATCAGGACATACTTGGGCGCTTGTTAAAATAAAGGTTTCTGGTCTTTACCCCGGAACTGCTGAATTGAAACATTCTAGGCTGAGGGGCTGATTTGGTCTCCATGAGATCAAATGTGCATTGAAGTTGTAGAGATGTTGAGTTTTATAGTCTCTGTGGCCCTTTCTAACTCTGTACTGACAAGACATCAATGACTGTTTTTAAACTTTATTGTAAATCAGAATCACTTGAAGAATTTGCATTTGTTTGCATTTTCAACAAGTTCCCATTTAATGTTGGTGTTCTTTGTCTTGGATTATATGAGAATCATTTGCTCTAGATTTCTAGGGATTGGAGTTTAGTCAGGCAGTGGATTCCACTGTAGGTCATGTCCAATTTGTTTAAAAAAATTTGTTTTTTGGTACCGGGATCGAACTCAGGACCTTACAAGGCAGGCAGTGGCATCACTGAGCTAAATCCCTGGCTCAGGAAAAATTATTTAAGAAATGTTTTGTAGCCAAGGATTTAGCTCAGTGGTACAGCTGCCTGCCTCATAAGTGGAAGGTTCGGAGTTCCATCCCCAGTACAAAAAAAATGTTTTTTAGCCAAAGTTTGACTCCCTGTACCTGTCAGTATTGATTGTAATTTTGCCTCTGGAAAAACACAAAATAATCTCCTTCCTTAGTAGAAAGAGGACCTAGAGTTTCTCATGTTAAATCTTCCTTAAAAGATTCCGATACATGGTCCATTACCTGCTTGCCTGCTTGACCAGTCTCAGTAATAGTGAGCTTCTTTCACCAAGCATGGTCTTAGTTTAAGAACTAGAGCCTCACTTTTCTCCTGCCGGAAGAAAATAGTGACCTTATTAGTTCTTTCAGGAATTATGTCTTTGTCCTGAGAAGTATATCAGGGGCCCTAGATTCTTTAGAGGGTCTCTGCTTAAGATGGGGCAACCAACCAGACAAAATGGGTTATGAGCATCTTACATACATATAAAATTCCTATCAGATCTCTAAAATGGGAAGAGAAGGGAATTCTCTCCTCTCCTTTTCCCTTTTCTCCTATTTGTTTGCTAAAAGCAGGTAGCCTAGGCCTGAGATGTGACTCAGTTCTTCCTTCCTCTTTGATCTGTTGGGCCCTGGAGGTGAATGGAGATGACAGCCACCTGGGAGTTGACAGGAGGAGAATACCAAGAGCACTGTGTCTGAATCAGAGGCCCTGCTCTGGCTCCAGTGGGCTGGAAATCAGCCGTAAACAGCCTGATGACAGAGGTGTCTGGAGGCTGCCTAGGAAGAGACATTAATCTTTGGGCACACAGGATCATCAGCCTTTGCTCTGGGTTCTTCCCTTGCCTTTGCCCCCTCGGCAAGCTCCTGCTGTCTTCAGGCAGGCCAGTGGAATCCAGGCTGTTTTATAGGCTGCTTGTGCCTCTGAAACCTAGGGGACTTGCCATTTTTCCACCCTGAGCTCTCAGGACATCCCAGCACTTCTTAACTCTTCCCCCTTGATCTTTTCTTAACTTCTTATAGCTTGAGGCTGTCCTATTCTGACCTCCATAAAATCTGCTTTACAATTCTGTCTTTACAGGTGGCCTCTGTCAGCCTCTTGCAGCTGGGCCAGGAGACTGACAAACTTAAAACCAGAAATCGAGACTCCATTTCTCTGCTCATGCGCTTGGTATGTATCTTGTTTAAGCTTGCCTGGGAAAAAAAAGAGGAAAGGCTGGGGGAAGACTTCCTTTTTAGGGTCTTTGGATCCCTGCCATTCTCATCACCTAAAAGCATTAATAAAATTAAATTGTGCCCAAACCTCTGGGTTTAGTCCTCACATTGTGGTACACATTCTAGATGTCCTATAATCCCAGAGTGGAGTTTCAAGGACTCCTCTGCAAGAAAGGGCTTTCTTGGCCTCTCGATGCCTGGATACTTTCTCCTGCAATGGTCCTGCAGCTGACCTCATGGGGCAGCCACGTTCCTTATTGATAACTCCCTGTCCAGCATGCATGTGTTTTTAGTTGATAACTTCCTACTAGTATATTTCTTTTCTTTAAGGGTACTATGAAGAGTGTACTGGGTAGTGCAGTATGGAACTGAAGGGCTTTGGGAGTGGGTCCACAAGAAAGAAGGGATTTTAGCTATGAAGCTAGTGGGCCATGAATCAGGAAATTTCTCCTATATCTTCTTGTATCCTAAGCTGTGGGCTTGCCTTTCTCTGGTAGAAAGTTCTAAACTCTAACTCAGTTGATTTAAAAAAATATTTTTCCTCATGACCCTTTTCAACATGCTTATTCATTATTTTGCTTTAAAAGTCTGATTCTCCAGGTTGGTCTCACACTTAGATAGGGAAAGGGGAGGCTCCTGCTCCTGGCCTGTCTTTTAAAGGCCCTCATCTGGTCTGTGGAGACAGGGTTTTCCCACTAGGATCCTGTGACCCACTTGAAAGCTCATAATGATACAGGAAATAATACTAGAAATGAAATACGAAATACTGCATCTCCCAGCCTTTTAGCTGTCTGATACGCCGTTCTCACGTTCTCTAAAAAATAGAAGAATGAATTTTAGAAGAACAGAGGTTAAGAGTAGAAAGATATTTATTGATAGGCTAGTTTCTGAGAGGAGGGGTCCTAAATGGGTAGCCATGGAATCCCACTTTACAGGGGAGTATTATGGAGTGAAACCCAAGTAGGTGTAGTGTGGGCCGCAGTCATGATTAATCAATAAGGTTACAAGTATAGTCACTGAGATAATAGCGATCCACTTGGGAAACAAGTCACAAAACAAGTGTAAACGGAAAGAACAAAGACTTTTCCTAGGAAATGGTGGGTCCAGATGTCTCTGGTCTCCCACCAGGATGGCTGATGTCTATCCAGATTTCAATAGGCCCAGTGTTTATCTTTTGAGGAAGTATACAGATCTGGTCAGTGGTTCTGCTACCTGCCTCGAAAGCATCAAGGACCAGAGTTCAATCTCCCCTACCAAAAAAAAAAAAATTTTTTTTTTTTGTTCTTGTTTTTGAAATAGAGTCTTGTAATGTAGTTCAGGCTGGCCTTGAATTTACAATAATCCTCTGCCTCAGCCTCCCAAGTGCTAGGATTACAGACATACCTCACCACACCCAGCAGCCTGAATAAGGAAGGGGACCAGAAGAGAGTCTGCCCCCACATTTGTGGAACCAGGCCAGCAGTATAAATGGAGGCCCATGCAACAAATGTCTAAGAAGCAAATTAAATTAACAAACTATTATGCTCTTTCAACTTTCACAATATACCTTTGTAATTTCATGGAAATCTGAGCATGAACTAGGAATTCTTAGACTCCTCAGAGTTCTGCCCCAGAACAGGGTTAAAAAATAAAAAAAGGAATCAGGTTCTCGCCTCATATTCCCAAATTCTCATACCCAGTCTGAGGGATTTTGTACACACATAGCCTTCCCTGCCTCTACATCTAAACTCCAGCCTCATATTTTTTAGGCGCTGCAGATATATCCAGACTCCCTCAGGAGATGGACTTGAAGGGACGTTCCACAAAAGCCCCTACACAGGGCTAGAGAATTCTGGGGTCCCAGATACCTTTAGTGTTATTATAGATAGCTGAGTTAGGTAGAAATATTATAGGCAGTCAGATAGGACTACGTCCTCAAAAGAGTCAGGACAAAGGTGAAACACATCATAACTATGGCCGGAGACACATTTATTGGAGACAGGGCCTCAACATAAAGACAAAATGACCAGATCTACTTTTTTGTATTTCATTTTGGTTTTTTGAGACAGGGTCTCACTATGTAGTTGAGATTGGCCTAGAACTCACTGTGTAGCCCAGGCTGATCTCAAACTCACAGTGTTTCTCCTGCTTCAGCCTCCCAAGTACTGGGATTACAGGCGTGGGCCACCACACCCGGCAAAATGATAATAATCCTTACAACAGAGTGGTTAGAGGTCATGAGATAATACATGTGAGTTTAGTACACAGAACAAACAACAGAAGTAGCTCTCTGTTGTTCATTTTTATTTCTGGGTGATCCTGGCATCCCTCTCTATTTCTTCTGGTGGTTTTCACTTCCATAAGGTTGGAGGTGATTCATAGTTGCCAGTCAGCCCCACTCCTCTGCTTTGACCTCTACTCCAACTCTTGCCCCAGAGATTGGGAAGTGCTTGTCTCTTCAATGGTCCTGCCATTCAGTAAGGCTGGCAGAATGGTGGAGCAGAGCTAGGACTGTGTTCTTTTTGTGCTGGTGGTGGAGGTTGGATGTTGCAAAGCAATTTAAATGGGCAAATGTTTCCACAGAGAAATTGGAAACAGCTGGAGGGAACAGAGTTGAATTCTGAGTTGAAAGTCTACTCATGTAGCCCCAAATTCTGGACAGCGCTTTTTTCCCTGGGGTCTTTCTGTTTGCTGTCAAATCTGGGCACTACCCACCCAGTGTTGCTAGTCTGTTTCTGGCATAAATTTTCTGGGAGAAAGTGATGCCTCTCTCAGAGAGCATCATGGAATCTTCGATGTCAGAGGCAGAGTAGATCCTGATAATTAGTCCAGTACTTAGAATGCATGGGTGAAGAAACTGAGAGATTCAAGGATTCCTCTAAAACACATGGGCAAATTTGGGAATAGAACCTACATTTTTGGTCCTCCACCACCATAAATACCTGTCAGTTAGGAGCCCTGTTATTTTCTTTTGTTTTGTGGAGACCAGGATGTCATGGGCCAGTGGATTCTTCTTGAAGTCATCACTCATTTCCAGGTACCTAAGGGTGGTACAGTATCTGGAGAAGAGGGTTCATCTTTCCCCTGGTCTAGGGTTTGGAAATCTTGTCAAGCAAGGATTTCTTTCTGCTGTCAGCCTTGGATCAGGGCTTCAGTTTTGCCAGCAGATTTCCTTGTCTTTGACTCACAGGGTCTGCTCTTCTGAGGCTGCTGTGTGTACTGCACATGCAGGTATTTGAGAATAGTAAACTCTTACAAATTGTAAAACTAGAAAGGGAGGGAGGGAGGGAGAGAGAGAACGCACATGTTTAGGTGTGGTAGGTTTTCTTAGAGGATTTTCAGAACTTGAATAGGACATATATTGGGGAGGGCCCATGTGTGGGGTCTGCTAGCTGTATGGTGTGGGGCATACCTCTCCAGAGCAGGATTTCAGTCCCTGTAACCTACTAGATGAGGAGGATAGTGAAGGAAATACATCCAATTCTTCCCCAGGGATGGAGACCCTCCAGCCTGATGCTGGGTTGTGCTGCTCTGTGGAACATGCCCCCTCTGCCCACCCCCAGCCCTACCCTCATCTTTAGTCTACTCCAGGAGTCCTGATCTATCTTCCTGCTTGGCTGTGGGGGCTGCTGGGATTACCACAGCACACAGGCTTGTAATTAAACTAATTAATCATGCCTGCTCCTTTATGTAGCATCCTTACTGTTCCCCAAGCACTGTACTGAGAGAGAGGAGACTGAAGCCCAGCACAAGAGGACCCATGTGGATTCCAGACCCTTCTTGCTTGGCTTGCAGTGACAATTGTTTCTCTTGCTGCAGAGCTTTGTAATTAGCACTTCTATCCATCTTTACCTGCATCTGATCTGTGCTGCCCACTCATGTAGGATTTCATATCTTGGAGAGAATGTTTCTCTCACTAGGAAAGTGTTTTTTCCCCTTTCTTCTGCTTCTGTGCCCTTCATATTTACCCTGATGAAGGGGATATGGATGATTCTAAGGGAACTGAGGAGACATTTTTGCCCTCCTGGAGTCCTACCATGTGAGAGAGGAAGGGGGAAATATGATTTGGAATCCTGTTCACTTGTAGCTCTAGGGCCCCAGAAGATCTAGGAATCACGTGAAGAACAGTGTCACAGATGTGACACATACCAGAGGTGCTCATCTCTTGGCCTTGTCTCTTTCAGGTGGTAGAGGAGTCATCCTTCCTGACCCTGGACATGCTGGAGTCCTGTTTCCCTTATGTCCTGCTTCGAAATGCCTATCGGGAGGTATCACGGGCCTTCCACCTGAATCGGGTGCCTGCCAATACCTACTGAAAGGCCCTTTGCATCCGTCAAAAGCTGTGTCAGAGTGGAAACTGTGGTCATTTTCTCAAGGGGTGGGAGTGGGGTGGGGTCACTAGGGAGAGTGTTAGAAGCCAGAGCTGATAAACAGATATTTAGAAAAACAGTCCAGGGCAGAGAAATTATAGAGAAAGAAGTAGGGCATGCTGGAGGAATGGAGGACAGTTTATGCACAGTTGGGGGACTGGGGCCACATTTGTGAATTTTTATCATGAAAAATAAGCAATATATAAATACATTTCCTTTCTTCTAGTGACTAGAGCTTGAGCTCTGTCAGGGATGGGCCCCTCCGACCTTCATCACTATTCTAGGATAACGCTGGCAGGCAGAGATGATCAATCATCATATTAAACCATAATGAGCTTATAATCCTCCCACTGGAGCTGCTATTGTCTCCTGCACATTCATTAGGACGATTATCTCCTCTCTTCCTTTCCCAAATGTGTTCAGCAAACATCCAACCTGTTCCTACTGCAGAGGAGCAGAAAAGGGACCACTCTTCTCCATGGGGCTCTTCCTTTGCCTTTATTTGTCTGCTTTTCCCACTGGGGCAGGGAGGGCACTTCCTCCAGTGGGAGTTTCACTGCCCTCCCCAATTGTGGGTTATGAGTACATTTTCTGCTGTTCTCACCTGTCTGCTTTTTCTTTGATATTTCCATAACCCAGAGTAGAGGGGTAGTCTAGGTTAATCCTAGGTCATGTGACAGCCAAGTGGATCAGACTCATGTGGGTTTTCCCTCCTGTACCCATTTGGGGAACATTCTGTCTCCTATTCTGGAGGGACTAACTTAACCCCAAATCCTCTTTTCAACCTAGATACAGCTGTTGCTCCAGGCAGGGATTTCTTTTCTAGATCTTAAATTTCACAGACCTCATTAGGTTGTAGGGCCCTGAGAGTTCACATCCTTGAGGGAGTATAAGTTGTTTTAACTTAGCCTTTTTCTGCACTAATTAGAATTTCAAGTGTCACAGAGCCTGGGGCATTCGAGATAGCACTAAACTAGGTTTAGTTAACTTCATGACAGGAAGCAGTGGCCCCATCATCCATCACCACTGCCAGGGAGGACTGGAGCACCAGATCATGTACGTCACAGTCTGGAGTGGTTGGATTGGGCAAATTTAATTAGCTAGTTGATTAATTAGAGTCATGCCCATATTTTTATGATGAGAGGGAAGCAATTGTTGGCTGTCAGTAAAACCATTCGGCCTTCATTAAACCTATTTGATAGCTGCTTTGGATTTTATGTGTTTTTATTTCTCCAGACGTGGACTTAGTCAATACTTTCTTAACTTTGCACCAACAATCAACACACAAGTTTTTCTTAGCAACAGCTGTCTGCTCTGTAGGAAAGAAGCAACAGAGAATCCTGCTTCATGCCTCAGCTAATTGTCCTTCCTTGCTATGGGAAGGACATTGCGTTCTAAGGAGTGATTCAGTGTCAGGCCTACTGAGATTGTGAGCACAGCTGACAAAGAAGAGAAGGCTCAGAAGGATCTAATCAATGACCCTTAATATCTCTGCTCATTTCTTCAACTTGAATGGATAGAGACCCTTCCCCATTTGCTTGGGACATTACTTAAGGCATCCTCCCAGAGCACAGCAAGACAAGTTGATACAAGGACATGGAGGGCAAATATAACACCTCTTTTAAATAGAAAATTCTGGGCTGGGTATTTAGCTCAGTGGTGCTGCACCTGCCTTGTAAGTGCAAGGTCCTGAGTTTGATCTAGGAAGAAAAAAATTGAAAATTTCATTGAGATATTAAACCCATGTGCACTTGTAAGATATAATACAGAAAGCCAATATACCTTTATATAGTTTCCCTCAATTGTAACAGCTCACAAAGCTATAGTACACTAGCACAACCAGGATATTGACATTGATATAATTCCCTGATCTTATTCACATGTCCCAGTTTTACTTATATTCGTTTCTCTCTGTGTGAATGTGTATTTAGTTCTATAGAGTTTTGTCACTTGTAGGTCTGTGCATCTGCTACCACAGTCAAGACTCAGGGCAGTTCTAGCATCATAGGGATCCCTTATATTGCTATTTTATAATCACATCCACTTCCCTCCTGCAACCCCCTTTTCCACCCCAATCTCTGGCACCACAGAGTTGTTCTCCATTTCTAAAACTTTGCAGCTTGCCATGCTCTTTATAAACGGAATTATGTACCACTCATTTATGTACCAAGTATAGTTTTTCAATACTTTTGTATTCTTATAGCAATTCTGCAAGGCAGCCAAGGAGGCTTCCTAATTTCAGGTCAGGAAACAAATTCAACTGCATTAAATGTCTTAATGAAATTCCTATGTTTAGCAGTAGAACTACAATTGGGATCCAAGTCTGATGTTTAGTCCTAGACCTTATTTCCTGATGAGACTGTTGCTTCATAAAAGAAGACTTAGAGCCCAGAGCCCCAGTTGAAGAAGGTGAGGACATAGAGGACCACTAGAAACAAAGGGTGAATATCTATCTAGGGGTGAAGGGACAGATAGGATAACAGGACCTATCAGCATTTCAGCAATTTGTTTCCTTAACCACTTTCTGACTTTTTACAACCTGGAGCATAATCAGTGAGCTGCTTTTTTGCTCCTAGATCCTCAGCTTGCTTTACATGGGCTCAAAAACAAGGGAGGAACGACTATCGGGAGAAATAGTGACTCCAGTTGTTTTATCTTGGAGGCAGACAGTAGGTTCTAGCCTCAGCATTTTCATTAGTGCAGTGTTTTCATTAAAGTCTCCATTAACTCATTTGCAGCAGAGAGATGGAATTATCCCTCCCACCAGGTCCAGGAGATGTGTGCCATGAGTTCACTTTCCCTTGGGCGGGGGAGACCTTGCCTCTTCTGCTATGGTGTTGGATCTAATGGGCAGGTGAGGAGGACAGCCTCAAGGTGCAGAAGGTTGGAGGTGTGGCCAAGGGGACTTCGCCCTCTGGCATTTTGCCTTGCAGGAAGGGAACAACTGGCTTGAGCAGCAGGACCCAAGAGGGAGGGAGGTTCTGGCTAGGAATAAGGCTTCCTTAGCATCAGGTCCTCACACCAGGGTCTGTTCTTTTCTAACAAAGTTTGATTTTGAGAAGCTGGCACATGGTTGAAATGCACTCACGTTGTTGGGGGAAGAATGTTCTTCCAGTCCTCCTCCCTACAGGGCCTCCTGCTTCTCCTGAGTACCTGTCATCAAAGGAGATAAAGATGAGTCCCCCTCAGCCCCCACACCTCATGAGTTGTCAAGTACTCTCCCTCCTACCTGCACAGGAAGCAGGAACAGCAGGCCAGGGTGCAGGTTGGGGAAGTCAGAAGTTAACTTGAGCTGAGTTTGCAGCACTGGCGAGATTGAAGAACAGGCTTTTCTCTTGTCACTTTGGAAGGAGAGCATTGTGGGGCCACCCCTTTAAATAGCATTCCTGTAGGAGGCAGATCACTTCTATCCGTCACCTGCTGCCAAAGCATCATTTTTGGTCTCTATCGAATTCAGAGCTTGTTAGAAAGGATCAGAGAGTTAGGGGAGTGAGGAGGCAGGGTTTCCAAGAGGTAGGGGGGCCCTTCAGAAGCTGGAAAGAAGAGGAATAGGTTGAGCAGAAGGAGTCTGGAAAAGGTGGAGGTGGGGGACAAGAGGAAAAGATAAGGAGAGAATAGCTGTCTTTTAAGAGTGTATGAATGGAACAAGTACACCCTATTCTTATCTCTTTAGAGGTTTGGTAAAGCACTTGGTTTGCAACAAGAGAACAAGGTTGAGGCTAAACACCAACACTGGTGATTAAAGAAAGTGAAAGAGCCACAGAGCAGAAAAGGCACAGGAAGGCTCAGACTTTGTCATTGTCTATGGGACTATATACTTTTTATGGGCTTAGTATTCCCATTTACTAAGTAGAAGAGACTAGGCTAGATGGACCCTAACTTCTCTTCTATAAATAACTTTTTTCCAGTGCCGGATCTAATCCAGAGCCTCACATATACTAGGCAAGAGCTGTACTACTGACCTACATCCGCAATCCAAATGACCCTTTTATTAAAATGGTTTAGAATTTAGGGGCCTTCATGTGCCACTGAATTGACAGGAAATGATGAAAGGTCACTTGAAATATGTCTCCTGCCTCTTGTCTATCTCTTCTAGTTTTTTTTATTTTTTTATTTTTATTTTTTTGGTTTTTTGAGACAGGGTCTCACTATGTAGTTGAGACTGACCTGGAACTCACTGTGTAGCCCAGGCTGGTCTCGAACTCCCAGTGATCCTCCTGCCTCACTCCCCAGTGTTGGGGTTATATAAACAGAGCCTCACATATACTAGGCAAGAGCTGTACTACTGACCTACATCCGCAATCCAAATGACCCTTTTATTAAAATGGTTTAGAATTTAGGGGCCTACATGTGCCACTGAATTGACAGGAAATGATGAAAGGTCACTTGAAATATGTCTCCTGCCTCTTGTCTATCTCTTCTAGTTTTTTTTATTTTTTTATTTTTATTTTTTTGGTTTTTTGAGACAGGGTCTCACTATGTAGTTGAGACTGACCTGGAACTCACTGTGTAGCCCAGGCTGGTCTCGAACTCCCAGTGATCCTCCTGCCTCACTCCCCAGTGTTGGGATTATAGGCGTGTGCCACCATGCCCTGCTTTTTTTTGAGACATATCTCTTCTAGTTTAAATGCAGTTCTTGCGCATATTGGGAAATTCCTTAGCTCTACTCTTCTCTGATTAGAGTTTTTTTTTTTTTTTTTAAACAGAGTCTGGCTATGTAGTTCAGGCTGCCTTCAAACTCAGTGATCCTCCGGCCCCTAATGCTGAGATTACAGGTGTGCACCACCACGCCCAGCCTAATTTGAGCTCTTCAATCCCAATGTTCAATTCTTTCCTAGTTTCCAGTTTATTCCCCTTTCAATCGATAAGGAAGGAGATTGTCCCCAAATTTTGAGAAATGGATTGTGTAGGAGTGTGCAGTTTTAGGTGCAGCTATTTCTTGGCTGGTGAGGAAGGAACCTGGATGTGTGCTGACGTGAGATGGACAGAAGGGGAAGTCCTGGTAGCCTTTCCACTTGCCATCTCCTGCCTCTGTACTTCCTGGGAGCTGCTTCCGATGATATTTTTGCCAGATCCAAAGCCCTGACCTAGACTAGCAGTTGTTTTATAAAGTTTATAAAGTCTTTTATAAAGCAATTCTTTTTATAAAGAGTCAATTGTGAAGGTCTCCCCACCCTGACTGAATCCAGGGGCCTTACATTGAGCTACATTCCCAGCACTTTTTATTTTGACACAGGGCCTCACTAGGTTGCTAAATTGCCCAGGCTGGGCTCAAACTTGCAATCCTCTTGCTTTAGCTTTCCAGAGTGCTGGGATAATGCACATGTACTACCTACCTGGTTTCTATCTTTTTCTCCAGTTTACCACTTCCCTTCTGTTATTTGCTCCTCCTTTCTCTAGAAAAGGGGGCCTCCACCAGATATTTAGAAAACGAAACAAAACAAACCAACCAAAAAACCTTTCTCCTGTTCATCCCTCCTTCCAATTTCCAGAATTCTTAAAATTCATATTTTGGGATCGTGGATTAGGAGCCTATGTTGAATCCAGTCATTAGTGAATACATCCACTTTGTTTGCTTGGGACTTTCCACCCTGCAGAGGTAGGTAGTCATTAGGAGTGCACAGTACTGAGAAAGAGCCCCAGGTAGGATGCACTTAGCTAGAAGAGGTTTTGCTATGGTCACCATCTGGTCTTCCAGTTCCATCCCCTCATTCCACAAATGTTTATTAAGCAGCTAGGCTGTTTAGTGCTGGGCCTTTATCTTTCAGATTTCCTTCTGAAGGCAGAATAAGAAGAAATGAGCTGGAATGTTGCAGACAGGCTTGAAGGGAGTTATCAGGAATGATTTCTTGGCTGTGTGCAGTTATTAGGTAGTCAGGAAAGACATGGGGCTGCCTCTTTTGTAACGCTTTAAACTTGGGAGAAATTCCATTCGGCCAGGCAGTGGTTACGAAGCACCTTGGCACAGGCCTCAGGGATGGAGACAGGTCAGGGAGATAAAGCTGAGGGGGCTGAGATGGGAGATGGGAGATGGGAGATGCCGGCACAGCTGAGAGCGGACCCTCAACTTTTCCCTTCCAAGACAGGGGCAACGGTGAAGTCTGGCCCGGCCGGGCTCCACGGTAGGTAGCTTCCCTAACCCGTGTCCGGATCCCGCAGGAGAGAGACGGGCTCCTCCCCTCCCCGTCCTCACACACGACACACAGGCAGCTGGGCACAAGTGGATGCATGAAACCGCATTCGCACGTATAAACTCCAGTCCACACCGAGGGACCCCGCC